ATACCTCGTTCGTCAAAATTAATGGTTATAAATTTATTTTTTATTTTTCGGAGACTATAGCCTTGGTGAAATTTCGAAGCTAAAAAGTTTTATTTTTCGATTGCTATGAAAATTCGTATTTGAGAGTCATTCGGAGGAAGGAAGGTATCCAGCCTCAACAGTGTCCGCTCTCAACTGTAAGAGAATTTTTTTAATATTCATAACATTTATATTTTAAAAATGAGAGTCTTCCAGTCATATAATGGTACCTGAAAAAAATGGCGACTGAATTAAAAAATATTAGAGCAGTAATTTGAGGATCGAAACGGGAAATTTATGGCGAAAAATGTGAGAAAATTTTTTTTTTTATTTTTTAACTAATATGTAGGGATTTAAACAAGAAAAAAAAATTGCTAATGCGGGCCACTGACGGAAAACGTTTAAAATTGTGGGTAAATGGTTGACTGTCGTGAATAATGAAGAGAAGAATAGTTGGGGTGATCAGTCAAATAAGAAGGCAAAAATAAATGATAATATTTATTTTGACATTTGCCGACGTTTCGACCTGAAGTTCAGGCCATCATCAGCGCTAAGAGAAGAACCAGATAACAAGGTATGAGAAACATAAAAATTAAAGTAAAATGCAGTTGTTAGAATAATGACAATAGTAAGAACTAAGATATAAATAATAATAACCGGTACAAAGTGTGGAATGATGAAGTAAACATAATCAAAATGGTCTTCATTAAGTATTGAAATGGAAATCTTAGAATAAAATGTAAAACAGAAAAATATGAAGTTATATAAGAAATGGAAATAAATAGTAAAATTAAGATATTGCGAATAGAATAGTTAGATAGAAAATTGAGATGTTTTAAAGTCTATCAAGATGTACAGACAACGTATAATATAATAAAGAGTTAAAACAGAGAAGAGGAATGAAAGAAAGGAGGAAAGAAACTGAGAAGGTTGAAATAAGAAAGATAATAAGAAAAAGAAAAACACACCTAACTGCAATGAAGTAAATCGAAGCAATGAGCATGTTAGTCAAAGAGGGGATGGAGAGAAGAAAACGTTTATAGGCCAAAAAAGCCAGATTTGTTTCGATCTTTTTTTGCTTTTTCACCTATAATTCACAAACGGTGTTTCAAAACGAAAACATACTGTTTAAGAAATTGAAGAACGTTAAATTGTAAGTCGAAAGAGTACCTAAATTTAATAATTTGGTTGAGTGGTCGATAATCACGGTCAACGAATACCAATTTTACCAAATTGGTCAAAAATTGTGTCAAATTAATATAAATGGATCTGCAGTTTGGGAAATTTTTTTTCTTAAGATGAAAGAGTAAAAGTTGTAGTGCGTCAAATGCCTCCCGTCCACAAAATACCAACAGTTTTAGTGCAGGTCACTTCTTTCGCTCGAATAAGAAATTTTGATTTTTTTAAATAGTACTTTCTTAGATGGACCGCTTGGAAGTAACAGGTAAAAATATCGAAAAATCAAGCTTTTTTGTCCGTAAAAAGTTTTCCGTTGATGGCTAGCGTTAACATTGTTTTTTACATGTTTAAACCCATACATACAATTTAAAAAAACAAAACTTTTTCCACATTTTTCGCAATAAATTTCCCGTTTTGACCCTCAAGTTACTGGGGGGGGGTACCCTAAAAAATTTAAAAATGTGCCCCCTCACAAAATTTGATGGCGCAACTTGCGTACATCCAATATCTAAATGATACAGTTGCTTCTATAAGAGACTAAAATTAGTTATTTTAATAAGTTTTTACAACAATTTCTGTGTAGCTGATAAGAGAAGATGGATTTTCCCGGTGATGATAAACTTTAATCACTATTTATCACAAAACCTCAATCTTTATATTTCCTCTTTGAACTTGTAGATTATTTTCGTATGAGACGTTTGTTAAATTTTTTAGTCATCATCTCAGAATATAGATAATTATAAAATTACTTCTTAGACAATAGAATGGAAATAATTAACTATTTACTGATTTAAATCAAACTAGTTGGCCCTTGCGAATAATTCACAGAAAATTTTTGTTTAGTGGAGAAATACCAAAACAATATGGAAATAAGCAGTTCCTATGTATTATGTAAGGAAGGAATTAATATTATTTCCTTAGTCGATTAAACATAATAGACCAAAATATTTGTACAAATTGCTTTGCTAGGATCTATTTTTAAACGCTGACTGGAAAGATAATAAAAGTAATACAGACAAAATAATGCCCCTATCATAGGATATTTTTGATTATTAAAAAAAATAAAATGTAAGAACAACCAAATGTCTTTATGAAAAAATAAAGTTAATATAAAATCCAGAAAAAAAAAATTAGTAGACTATTCTACAGGAAGACAGGAAGACATTATTAAGTATCCCAAAACTAATGGACTGTATCTTTGTTAATAATTGTCCGATTTTTTTTTTGTTTTATAGGTAATTTAATAATCTTTCTAATTATTATGGGTACAATCCAGAAAAAAATGCGTACTTTTTGAGTTATCGGCAAATAAAGTTTCTTTTCCTCCATAACTTTTTTTCTAGGAATTTCGGAGTTATAGGACTATTTTTCGCATGTGAAGGAGAAGAATATCTTCTAATTGAGTGGTCAATCATTGGATTTGATGAAGAATTGACGAAGTTATGGCGTACCGACAAAAAAACACCTTTTAGAAATAATATATAGGATACTGTGTTATGCCTATGAAGATGAACGAGACGAAGTAGATCTGTGGACTGATATCGCATTAAAATACAGAAACCATAGTTTTTGTTTTATTTCTAATATTATACATCGGTGTGATTGTTTTCATTTATCACTGTAATTATTGTCCACGTGGCAGATTATTATATTTTTATAAATAAATAAAGTAAATTAAAAAAAAAAGACATTGATACATAAAAGCCTTATCTGTATTTGTGTTATAGTCAGTGCCGGCCTTTGACATTCGGCACCCTAGGGCAATGACGTCACTTTCCTCCCCCCAAAAAAAATTAAATTAATTTTTTTAAGTAGTTTTATACTCTATTTAGTTTTTAAATTTTATTTCATTTAATATTTAAATAATACAGTTGCGTCATTGATAGGTTAAAATTAATTGTTTTAAGATGTTTTGATCTTTTTTTAAAATTTATAACAAGTGACTAGCGCCCCTGAAAATCGGTTGACGCCCCCAACGGGCACCCCTCCAGGTCGTCCGGAACGGGTTACGCCTTCCTGAGGACACTGGTTATAGTTAAAACCTCTGAATTAAAATTAGTGTACTAACCGTGAGAAGAAAACCTACCTTAATTATAAAGTTAATAAAAACGAAATGTATGATAATAGTATATTTAATGACAAAACTCGCATTTCGAGTAAAATCAAAGGTCCTTAATAAAAAAGAAAACACCCCATAAATATTTCATAAATATAGAGAACGATAATCTGTAAGAGCATAAAATAATTTTACGAGATTCTAAAAAAAATAAATAATACACAAGAAGTGGAACTTAATAAGAATTTTAAAACAATATTAATAATTATCAGCAAGCTTGACCGATGGTTTAAGGAATTTAGTATTTTATCTTTTTTAAACCGAAAACGCTCAAGCGCTTTTTTGACCTAAATTAATCCTGATGGATCATAAAAAAAATAAATAAAATTGTTGGGATTGAAGTCAGAGAGAACACACAAACAAAAATAAAAGATTTAAAACAAGAAATATTTTATTTTTATTTGAATGTTCTCTCTGATACTACACAACATCCCAATCATATTTTATATGGTCAGCAATCTCTTCACTATTGATAATTTTGGTTTTTAAAACTGGCAAATAAATACATATTATTCTAAAAATACAAATACTATCATAAATCCTCTACCGTGCACTCTCCTGTCCTCTTCCCCCTCCCCACATCCCTATAGATTGCATATTGTCGTGTTTCTTATAACTTACTGACCCAAAATGGCGTCCAAAGATGGCAGACTGACGATATTATTCATTGAAAAAGTGGAGAAATACGTCTTCACATTTATTGCCTATGCACCAAATCCAACTATCTATAGTTCCATCGAACTGTAGGGGGAAAACCAGGACTCCAGGAAATTCCTGCGCTACTCTCTCGACCGCATAAATTTTACTAAAGCTAGTGGAGATTGATCGAGAGGTTTTACGTTAACAACTGCGAAGTATCTCCCTTTCAAAAAATATTGAGGAAGAATATAATGCCTTACTGAGGTGCCCAGAGGAAGGTTTCATGGCGCAAGTTGCGCCATCAAAATGTTTGAGGGGGACAAATTTTGAAGGGGTTTTGAATTTTTGAGGGAGGCATATTTCGACGGAATCATGAACATTGCAAATGAAAAGTTTCAAATCAAAAGACAAGGGAAGCTAGAAACAGACTAAAGGATGTGTAATTTATAACCTACGATTTTTTAAAATTTTACTTTCGCTTGCACTGTTTTTAAGAAGAGGAGAGCGACAAAATATTTTGGAAGGAGTGGGGGAAAGAACCACTAGCGGATCCAGGATTTAATTTTGGGAGGGGCTTCAGCCCGAAACCTTTTTTTTTCATAAAAATAACGATAATTATTTTGGAAAAACAGAAAGAAACTAACTACCTATATGAAATAGTGTTTAAGTTATTCCTTAAGTACTTTTAAATGTAATTACACGAACAATAATACTTTAAGAGGTATTTTTTCCTATAAAACATGATTATATTTTTCATTTTGGGGGGGGGGCTTCAGCCCGAAAGCCCCCCCCCCCCCGTAGATCCGCCCGTGGAAAGAACTGATCGACTTTGGGGAAGATGGGCTCTCCTGATGCCTTAACCCACAGTGCCTACGGCCATGGTAGCAACTACTGCAGTCCCATCCTTTGTAATGGAGCTTTAAGCTTTAAAAGAAACGGTGAAGAAATGAAAAGGAACGACATCGCCCATCTCTACTTCTTGGTGATCCTCTAGCAGGATGTGGAGGGGCAATAGAAGGACTCCCGTGGTGGGAGAAGCAGGGGAGATATAAGATACTGAAAAAGTTGGAAGTCATGACTCATGAGTCCACTGCTGCCGATGAGGAAGGATGTCTTGCTTCAGGATTCTTGCTTTACTCATCGCCGTCGTAAGTTTATAGCCATTCACCAAATATTAAATTTATTTATCAAATATGTGATTGATATCTTGTTATTATTGAAAAGTTCTGAACTTTATTCAGTTTCATTTATTTATTTATTTTTTTGAGAAAATTCGATTACTGAATTAAATTATATTTAATATTCATCTAAATACTATCTCACAGTCTGTTGTAAAGATCCCTTTTTGTCGAATTATTAACATCCGCCTGGAACCTCGTAAATAGTTTCATCTCATCGTAACCTATAAAACTATTTTATTTACAAAAACTCTTGGAATTAGGGCGTTTTCAATCTGGAGGGGGGCAGACTTTGTCTATTTAATTAGGTACTAAAAACTCGTAAACACACATTTGCTTTGTACTAGAATCGCAAGATAATTTGATCACAAAATCGATAAAAAAAGTGGCCATCAAAAATATTGAGCCGTTTGGCATGACCTACATCCCCAAAATTTCAAAATAACGAGGTTATATAGGACAAACGGCCCAATATTTTTGTAGTCCACTTTTTTTATCGATTTTGTGATCAAATTACCTTACGATCCAAGTAGAAAGAAAATGAGTATTTACGGGTTTTTAGTATCTAATTAAATAGACAAAGTTTGTTTCTCTCCAAATTGAAAACGCCCCAATTCCAAGAGTTTTCGTAAAAAAAAAAAGTTTTAGGTTTGATGAGATGAAACTATTTACGAGGTTTCAGGCGGATGTTAATAATTCGATAAAAAAGGGGTCTGTACCACGGCTGAAGTCCCCCCTCCCAAAAAAAAAAAAATTAAATCCTGGATCCGCTAGTGGTGGTATTCTATCCCCATTAGGGATTGGCGTACTATTATTTCTCGTGAAAATTCCTATGGAAAAAATTCCTTTGAAGGTATGTCCGGAAACACTTTGTTTAGATGATATTCACACCTAAAGATTCATCAAAACTAAAAAAAACTTCATCAAAATGGGGTTCCTTCAAGAAATTCATAAACCTGTAAATATTTGCACCCCCTTAAAAATTTATGTTGTACAGCTTGTCTCATGCCCCCTTATGGGCACCCCTGAATCTTAGAATTAATCTAATCCAGAAATAAAGTAGAAATACTGTAGTATACACCTACTGTGAATATATTTTCTAATCAGAAAAATAATTATACTGTTTTGAAGATTTAAGATTTAAAAAATTTTTAACTGTTATTTTATTTATCATTTAAATTGTTCGTTTTTTTTAGATCAGCTTTTCTGACTGTCTTCCATCTGGAAATATTACCCATACACCAAGAAGTGAATTAAGGTTTTCTCAGAATGCCAGCACAGTTGTCGGGTAAACATTTTTATTTTTACTGATTATAAGGAATATAATATTAAACTGAGCTGTGGAGAAATCCATCCATTGATAGAAATTAAAAAGAAACTATAGTACTACTTTTCATTAAATACATTTATGATTAAGAATGGTCAAAAGCCTGGGTGAAAAGTCAAAAGATCGAAGTGGAGCAAAATCATGAGAAAACTAGCCAAAAATCTTGAAGAATTGATGCTCTTTCACAAGAAAGTGGTCCTGCAATGGATCCCTGGACACTGCAGCCTCTCTGGAAATGAAAGGGCAGACCAGCTGGCAAAGGAAGTGGCTTTGAGTCCCCAATTTAACTGTAAGATCAGTCTAGATGAGATTAAAACCATTAATAAATTATTAATCTTAACCAATGTTGACTCAGAAGTCATCCACTTCACGACCCCGACGATTTATTGATTGAATCGACAAGAGCAGGTCTTGGTCTGCACTTTTCACTTGTGAATGGGGCACAACAGGCTCAAAGCACAATTATTCAGTAAGTTCAGAATTGGGTCTAGTCCCCTCTGCGAGTGCGGCAATGGTGCACAAACGTGCTGGGTCTTTTCCTATCAAAAGAGAGTGATCTGGTTCTCTCCAACTGAAGTGGAAAGAAAGCTATATGGAAGCCTAGAGGACCTGAGGAAGACTACCGTATTCTTCGTTTCAGTCCCTGACCTAGCTATGTAAGGAAGAAAAAAAAATTGCATTCAATTTTTTAAAGGAAAAATATTTTTGTGAGACTTTAATTAAAGACAACATTCAAGCGAACGAACAAAGGAAAAATTAAACTACAATTTTTATAATTTTACTTTCATTTGCACTATTTTTAAGAAGAGGAGAGCAATAATTTTTTTCAGGAGAGGTACAGCACTAGCTAAGGGGATGGATACCACTGAATAGAATTAGGAATAAAATTTTTAGCTTTGTCCTACAAGAACATTCTCTATAATATGCCGGAAATACTTGATTATGTCAACTTATTCCCAGTTATAATATGGTAAGCAAGTTGGTAAAAAAGAAAAATAATTAGTATTCTCTATTTCAAGGTATGTAAAATAACATGGAACAGAGTGAATCAAGTATTTTCAAATACTCTCGACCAGATTAAGGTTGAACTGAATTTGACCATTTTGGGACCACAGTTACAGAATAACTATTTTTTTTTTTTCAATTTATTTTATAGTTATTAATTATATTCATACAAAAATTACTGGGTTATATTCATTAGTTTTTATTGTTGTTTTTTAATCCCTACATATATATTTTTTGGTTGTATATTTTAAATTTATTAATTCAAAAATAATCTTCCTATGAGAAATATTAACTACAATATTTATTATAGTAAGAGAATATTAAAAAACATCGATTTTCATATAAAAATCTTTTATTTGTATTTTATTTATCTTTTATTTTTAAATAATAACATTCGTTTTAAGAATCCTCTATTTATCTATTATATAGTAGGGATTATCTAGTATCTACTATGTCCTCTATTTATTTAAAATATCATATAAGAATAAATTTAGAAAATTGAAGTAAAGAATTTTCTCTTAACCTACTAGTTAAACCTCATTCCATCATTTCATGTAAACTATTAATATTTACTACATTTTTTTTCCAAGAGACAGATAATGCCTCACAGGCAACCCGATTAGTTGTCAAGTCAAAATCTTAAATTGGGATGGGGCTTGGAGAGGCTGTTCTACAAATTACTCCAGGTAAATTAAAATAGTTTAAAATGGAGTAATAGCTACAGAGGATCAAGACGATAAGAAATAATATTGTGCCCCTTGAAAATAAGTCATTGCGAATTCTCTTCATGGATGAGAAGACATCACAGTCTACTTGTATTGAGTGTGGTGCCTATAAGCAGTCAGGCAGTCCTATAGGACTATTAACAATGTGATGGTTGAGTGCCAACAGTATTCATCCACAAGGAAAAAACTAAACAAAAGTGATACAATACCAGAAATACTAAAAGATTCAGAAACTGGTGTAAATATTTAATAGAATGAAAAGATTAGTTTTTAAAGATATTAAGGTTTATATGATTGCTAAAATTTGTTCAAAAGATGATTGCTTTAAAACAATTTTTTTTTACTTATTGTAATATACACCTTTATTGGAAGTGGGTAAAAATGATTTAATAAATTAATGTTGAACAATTAAAAGGCAAGCTAATCTAGTTCTACTAGTGTAGGGAAAAGAAAATGGCTACTCTGTAGTTTCCCAAGATGGAAAATCCCAACCTTGGTTTTGGCAAACAGTTGTTGTGTGACAGCAGTAAAGAAATGTTAAGAGAAGATACCCTATCCTGGCTCCAATGGGTAAAACCCAGTAATAGTTTTACCATCTTAGATCTTGTTTGGCAGGAAGAATAGTTGTTTGGAATTGCAAGAGAGAGGATTTCCCAGAGAGCTTGAGTTGAGTGGAAGAATAGTGTTACCATTTTGGAATATGTGTTTGGCAGAACATAAGAAAATTTGTGAAGACAAATGAGTTCAGTGCCACAAAGGAAGAAACATTGTATGTAGAAAAAAGGTCAGCTTCTCAATTCATACTTGACTTTTTTTTTTTAAACCAGTGTTTAAATTTAATATAAATAGCGTAAATAATAATAGTTTGTCTGAGTTGATCTGATTGTCAGTAACCCACACCTGAGATAAATAAATATATTAATACTCTTATAATTTTGTTTATTATTATAACAACCTCTTATTTATTTAGGAAATATCCCAAAAGTATAAAGTGATCTTACGAATTATTATTATTATTTGTATAATATAAGAGAGATGTTACATTATATATACTTAAAAAGAAGCCAATGTTACAGTAGTCTAAAACACTTGAAATGCCAATGTATCTTTGGGTTACAGGCATTCAAACAATAAATAAATAATATTTATGAAATTTAAAATTGAATAAAGAAAATTATGGGGGTCTTTTTGTGACTCTATTAAAAAGTTTTAAGGACGGCAAAGAAATAGACAATATACAATTATATATATTATGAAAGGATTGATTGTTAAATATATTAAGGTATTTATGAAAAAAATGATTGCTTTAAAATAATTGTTTTTACTTATATATTAATACTTGTTTGGTTTATAGGAGTACTACAAAGAAACTGGCCCCATTTTGTGCCGATGGATCAAGATTTTGTGAAACAGTTGATGGCTATCCAAAGTAAGGGGTAATTTAGTGCGTTTTTTTATTTGCAATTTTTTAACATCACTTCGACTGATGGCCATGAGCGACGATTGGTCTTCTTAGATATAAGTCGTTAATTTCATTAGTTTAATATAGTTTATTGTTTTCCAATTCCTTCAGTTTCTATACATGGAACGATATTTTGAATTTTTAGGCAATTTTCCTGGTTACCCCTCTTCCCCAAGACTGGTCATGGTTAGTTTAATTACCATATTTCACTTACCCATAATTTTTAAAAAAATATTTCCATGCAAAATATTGTGCGTTCACTCATATAAAGCTAAATAGGCTGTTATTAATCTAGGCGAAACAGTATCCCATTCCTCCATTTTCTTGCACAATTCTTTCTTGATAACAAAACCGACTCCTTCTTTAGCATGTTCACCCTTATGGACCCCCTGAATAAATGAGATTGTATCCCTTATCCAGGCACAATTCTCCAATTTCTTTCCTTTTACTTCACATATAGACACAATTTAACATGTTCTTTGATCTTGTACATCTTCCACTTTCAACTCTGTACATCCCGTGTCCCAATCATGACCTCTTCTTTGATAATAAGTAGAAGCTCAGTTTTGAGAACATTATACCTATAGGTTTATTCATATTTTTATGATATTAAATTACACTACAATTAATTGAATAAAATTTATAAAGAAGAAAGGAATGACTTTTTTCTGCTTTATTGGCTACATTCCACTAATTAATTTTACATATATTTGACCAATTGTGTCTCTTAGGCTAATTTAAATATTATAAATTATGTAATTAGCATGGATAGAGAAATCAAAATTAAAAAATCAGTGCAAGATTGACTTTAGCCTTCTGTACAATTCGGTATCATACATCCCAATCCAGCGCCAGCTGTTTCCATCCATTAATTCCAATCTATCCCAGATCCAGAGGAGACCAAGGACCACACTGGTTTGAAGCACCATGGAGTAGTAGCCAGATTCTCCTCAAGTTCGGCCAGCAATCGTCCTCTTTATCTTTTCTCAGACATGTTCTCTTTCATTATTTTCTTTTGTAAATAACCTTCTGTTTGTCAATGGAACAAATAGAGAGGCGCAAAAGGATGATCTTGGCACAAATAAAGAACCTAGCCAGAGACAGACACAGATGATTTCGATGGCTTGAAGCAACCTCATGAAGCATGCTGAAAGGCGAATGGGTGGAAGAAAAAGAAGAAGATGAAGGTACATGTACTGCTTCAAACATAGTACAATAAACCGGAAATAGGTCGAAATTCTTGTATTAGATTCAGACACGTATTTTGTTTTTCCTTCTTTTATCTTTACGACAACCTTTTCACATTCGGACACTAGTTCAGTGAGAACTTCTCTTATTGCTAATTCACTTCTTCCAAGAACATCTATGTTATCTGAATATCTGAGAATGTGTGAGGTTCAGGTAGCCAAACTTCCCCTCGGTTCAATTGTCTTTTGGGCTTTATTATGCAGAGCTAGGTTAAACAATATGGCAGACAGAGCATCATCTTGTCGCACTCCACTGTTGAAATGCAAGGACTCTACCTCTTGAATGGAACAGCATCATTTTGATTAATTAATTTATAGGGAATATCAAACACTTTTAAGGCCGATTATTAGTTGGACACAGTCAACTTGATCGAAGGCTTGCTTAAAGTCAATAAATGTACATTAATGTTGCACTCATAGCGTTTCCCCAGCACTTGTCTGATGACAAAGATCTTGTCAATTATGTCCCTGTTGGATCTAAAGCCACAATGATGATAGTCAGCTAAAATTCGCTCTGAGTTTATTATAAGCTTTGATTCAGCCTAGCTACTATAAGGTTTGTTATCAATATCAATATCTTGTTGATGACATTTAATATCGTAAGATCTCTATAGTTATGGTATACTGGCTTGTCCCCATTTTTCAAAATTGGCTCATGGTTTTCTAGAGAATATAATTTCTCAGGCACACAGTCTGGACATGAAATTGTTGGAGCATGAACTGTGGTTCAACAGAAACGTAATTGGTTTAATCCAATTAGAAATAAATGAGTACAAGACCGTTAGATAGGAAAAAATTATGCGTTTAGCGCTCAGTACAAATCACACATCTGTATAGATATCTATATCCTTTAACTCCACAGACATAAAATTCTTTTTATGTTTTCAAGATAATATTTGAACTATTAAATTAAAGGAATCCAAACACTATGTTATTTTATTGGAAAATTTTGACATCCAAATAATCCTGTTTTGTTATTATTTCAGGAACATCCTTGAAAATATATCTGACAATGATATGGATCAATTTAAAGAGCTGCAAGGAAGAGATGACCTGAAATCGCCTCCTATCATGCAAAGAACTGATATTAATGCAACAAATGAACTATCTCTTTGTCCTTCTGTTGTAAGTAAAAATTTTGCATTTATAACTTATTTTTAATATTAATATTTAATATTGTTTTCTTTAATTGTTCATAAATAGAAAACAAAAATACTTGTTTGTTTCCATACCTTGTACCTAAAAAAATATTTTAAATTGACTATATATTTGTTATTTGAAAATAACAAGCAGACAACATTATAGCTTAGATACCATGTATTAATTTAAAAATAACAAATAATTATTTGGTTGTTATTATGATTAATAAATAACGGTTATTTATTGGTTGCTAGAAATAAAATCTCCATGTCTTAGTGTCATTATGTAATGTTTCAAATGTGTTTCAGGAAGAAGTTGTGTTCCCTAGAGTTGCCAAGAATAAAGATGACAAGTGGCTTTTTGTCGTTAACACAGGTTCCTTTGTGCAAGGTATTCGCGTTGAAAAATGTATGTAAGTTTAAAATTTCTTATTTTACCCTCCAATGGAAACCTTAAGTCATATATTCATGCAATGATATATGTATTTTTTCTACTTTTTAAACAGTTTTTTTTTTGCCTGTTTAGACTATTTAAATTCAATCCTCTTTTCTTTATTTATTGTCGAATGCACATATTTGAACATGTTTTTCATATTTTAAGTTTCAATATTTCTGATTGAAAACAGTATTACTCAAGAATTATTATTATTGTTAATTAAAAAAAATTGTTCAGAAATAATGATCAGGATATGATTTTTATCACTTAAGATAAAAATTAAAAATTGCTCTTAATAACTGTCATCAAATAATTTTTCAAAATTTCAGATAAAAATTTAGATCAGATTTCATTTTGATTTTTTTTTTATTATCAATTTGAAACCCTGGTTTTGAATGTTTCTTGTTTAGACCATTTAAATTCAATTTTCTTTTCTTTATTTATTGTTGAATGCATATATTTGAACATATTTTTCATAATTTAAGTTCCAATCCTTTGTAAGGAAAAGCGATGCAAGTTTTAAATAGGAAAAAGACTTAAAAAAAAAAATGAATTTATCAATTTTCAACCCATTGTTTTGATCACTTATAACTAGAACCACACACTAAGATGATTTTAAAGGATCTCATTTCAAATTACTTTATGCTTTTAAGTGACGGGTGGTCATCTATAAATTTAATGTTATAATTTATTCAGAATTAGCTACTTGCATAAGTTTTCAATTTGAATTCATTGGAGAATATTAAGTTAAAACAATGAATATGAAAAAAGTCTAAAATTTTTCTTATGTATATGTGCAAAACATGATAACATTAAATAAAATTTGTGGGATTAAACAAACTGTCAAAATATTTATATCTTTTTTCCTTTTATTTAGTTATCAAATTCTTTAACAGTTCATATTTATGCATTTTGTATTTCTAACAATAAACCTAATTAACCGTAAACATATTAATTCAATTATAAATACAAACTTTAGACGATTAATATAAATTATGATAATCCTGTGCACTCTATATTTTTGGTTTATCAAGTTGAAAAAAATAAAAATATAATCTATATATTTTATGGAAATTCCGTATAGTTTCAATGGAGACATTTATTTCCCTTTCAACAATATAAAATTAGACATTATTAACTACAACAATTAAAAGTAATTATCTTTTCATCATTCCCCATTACCTTCTATAATCTTATATATTAAATGTACATTTTTAGTTTTCTAATGTATACATCGATGTTATTATTCAGATTTTCAAAAATGTGTAATCAATCTGCTAAGGTATTTCTCTCATTTTCTCATTTAGTTAATAATCTAATTCTTTCATAGTTCATATTTATCCATTTTGTATTATTATTAACAATGAAAGACCTATAATTATTTTTTCTAAACAAAAATAAAGATAATTTAATAATAACAATAAGGCTTAGTTAGCGAGCCCAAAGGTTCGCTCCCGGTTAATGTCTACATTCTCCCATCAACCGGGCACCGTCTAAATCCAACCCTGCCAGATCAGCCTTAACGCAATCTTCCCACTTTTGCTTTTGTCTACCGATCAGACACTTGCCAGTCGGTACGTACAGCGCCTTTTAACTTTTTAGGAATTCTTTCGTTACTAAGCCCAGCAATTTTACATGCCCATTTTATTCGCCTCAACTTAATCATCTCAATTATGTTAACCGGATACATTTCACGCAATTCACCATTGTGTAACCACCTAAATTCTTCGGTTGACTTGTCCTTTTTCTGTGCAATACATTATTATTTTCAAAAACATTAAGACGTTGCTCATATCTTAATGTCAGTAACCACATTTCAAATCGATAAAGAACCGTAGGAAGCATAATGGTTTTGCAAATTCTAATATTTAAGTTTCGGGACACCAAGAACTAAGTAGTTTTGACTGTTTGGTATTTTATGAACTATAGATATGTGAGTAGGGCATTCGATCCTATGTCACACCCTCCAGCAAGTCTGGAGAGCCTCTCTCATTATTGGCCAGCGAGTCCATCAAACCTACCTGGAAGGAACTTCCGATGAATTTCCAACGACCAACCTCACATCTGCTACCCGTGGGATGCTCCCCTATGCGGTAATGAGCTCTCGCAAGGAAAGATACTTTAATGGAACACTATTTCAATGAGGTTAATACCTCCATGATAATAAAGGCACTTTAGTTTCAGACCTATACATTTCATTACTAAGTTCAACGTTCCCCAATTTCTGGAAAACTGCTCTTGTTTGTCCACTGAATAAAATCTCCAATCCCGCAATCCCCAATGATTCTCTCCCAATTTCCGTGTTATCTAAACATTCAAACTTCTTCTCAAAAGAGTTAGTCTGGTGCATAATCAGTCTCTATAAATTGAGTACTCTTAATTGATTAATTAATTAAGGAGGAAAACCTGATGGTTGAGGGTGATATCGGTCAAATCACCGCCCACCACAACCATTGGCCAAGAAACAGTACTTAACAAGACATGATACTGAACCGAAAACTCTTTTTGGGTTTGCAGTGGTACAGAAGAAGCAGTAGGAGGAGAAGAAACTTTTTAATATAAAGAAAGAAAATGTATACTCCTCTTTAAACATGATTAAGTAATTTTTCTTTTCAAAATTGGAGTAGTACCATTTTTGTTAAAAAATCTCATATTTTTATCATTTTGGAAAAGAATTATTTTATATTATAAAGGTCGCAAGGTAAACATGGTACGTCACTGAAAATATAATAAAAAAAAGTATTTATGTTTTCATTTTAGGAAGACGAGCAATGAGCCTGAGCAAAAATGCTATTTTAGTGATTTATTTCCTAAAGGTTACAAAACTGTGTGCAAACAGAAGTACATATACCGAAGAATGGTAGCTTTGGACGAGGATGGGAAACGAATTACAGATGAATTTGTGATTCCTTCATGCTGTTCTTGTGCTATAATACCTGTCAGAGATGCTACATATAGACAAGGGATGCTGAAGAAAGCTTTAAGTACGACTACAACTCCTGTTCCCAAACGTTAAGAAACTGTACAATTTTTCCAAAACATCAAGATCAAAATGCTTGTCATTTGGTCTACACAGGATCCTTTGTAGTCATGAAAATCTTTTATGTGAATAAAGTAATACTATGAAACCATTTCGAAGTATTATGTATGAACCTTAATAATTTATCTCAAAGATTTGGTTAGAATTAGATTTTTTGTTTGGATAACAATTTGCATTTAATTAATTTCTTTCTTTATTTTTTTAAGTATATCTGTATATCCATATGGACATTAGGAAAACATTTTTATTGTTATTGTCGGGAAAATTTATTCAACACTCTCCATTCGTGAAGCTCCATACTTTGTAGTCATCTCACTGAATAATTTGAGCCATCAAACTTAAAAATGGATCCAGCCACACGCTCAAAACAGCGTTACAAAGCTTTTTGCAAATTAATTAAACAAAGTTTATTCAATTATGGGTCAGTATTTATAGCTCAAATTGTTTCAAAATACTCAGAGGAACTCACTGAATAATTTGAGCCATCGAACTTATAAATCAATCCAGCCATTCGCTTAAAAAGCTTTTAGCGGACGACCCAAACACATAATCCTCGTTTCCTTACCTTAGCCGGATACAAATAAGTAAGGTGTACATAAATCCATAAACATAGATTTCTCAAGGATTACTATTGAAGAAATAAGCTTTAAATTGTATTTAAATAAGCATTCAACATTTATCAACTCGTAAAAATTGTTTCATTATTCTACTAAATCATCTAACCATTTCCTAAAATCTTCTTCATCTTTCTCATTTTCCTTTTGGTATTTCACCTTTAAAGATTCTTTATCCATAGCAATTTGTGAAGGGCAAGTATCATAAAGAATCCAATGGTGTGAATCTACAACAAACTAAATGAAACTATAAATACTGATTTAAATAATATTATTTAAATTAATTTAAAAAAAAAATGTATATTATGCTCATACATGTTGTTAATACTATATAATTGTATATTAGTTTTGGAAAATTGTCTGTAGCGATTAATAAGTATGCTGTGTTTAAAGCAACCCAATGTAATTGGGCAGCACCCTTTTATGATAATAAAGTGATTCTCTCTCTACTATATACATATATATATATATATATATATATATATATATATATATAAATAGGTGATATATAATATAACTAATTATTACCATTAGCTATGCATATGTCCTCTATCTTTAAATTAATCATATACCTATAATTTAAAAAAAAAGAAAAAAGAAACGGTTTAATATTTGATATTTTGGTTATTATGATTTATTAAATTATAAAAAAGTACATGGAAAAAAGTATATCAGCTTTGATTGACCAAGATAGTGATACATAGATCAGGTTCTATAACCAGGATCCTCAGCATTGGTTAACTGTAGAAGAGGACTCCATTAAGAAGATTATTATCTGTCGTTTTGTTTTCATTTCCTTCAAGGCACTTTATACTCTTACTTCTGGCTTCCACCGATTTATGTAATTCCTAACCAACGTGAAGCCAAAACGAGGGAAGAGAGAGAAGAGACTTGAAAAAGCAACGGAGAAGAATTAAAAAAGGAAAAACGGTGGAGACGAGAAGAATCGAGAACTACATTGTTCCTGCCTTATCTATGCTGTTGAAAATAGCTTTATTTGTTGTTTTTGTACTAAAACTATTTATTAATTAAATAAATATTCCCATCAAATCACCTTTATCCTTCGTCATAAACCTATGTCCTCTTGTCCTACAGTATCCTTTAATAATACCCACTTATCCCTGTTGAACAAATTCGATACATTGGCCTCCACTTAGACAAACGTCTAACTTGGAATCCTCATACTAGACTGAAACGACAAGAAACAGCCCGACGTTTCCGACTACTCCAGCACTTTCTAGACAAACGCTCTAAGCTCCCAGTCAATTACAAAAAACTCATATACATGACTACATTAAGACCTATTTGGACTTACGGAGTTGAGCTCTGGGGCTCCACTAAGCCATCGAATTCCTCCCGTATCCAATCCTTACAATCCAAAATCCTTCGTAAAATCCTCACTGCTCCTTACTTTGTCACAAACAAAATCATCCATAACAACCTTAATGTTCCTTATGTTACTGACCTGGCCCAATCCAGATACCTATCCTTCCATAACAAACTTCAGAACCATCCAAACCCTCTCGTTTCTAACCTTGCTTCCTATTCGATTCCTGACAACCCTCCGAGGCGTCTGAAAAGAAGATGGCCACGAGATCTCCTTTTGTAAATACATTTAGAGTGCTACCAGTGGGTAGTTTCTCATCAAGTGAATTTATGTTATTATATTTAGTTCACATTTACTGAATGTATTTTTATTTGTAATACAGTTGTAAATATCATCAATAAAAAAAAAAAAAAAATAAATATTAAATTTTGATATCGAACATGATTGTATTGTGACTTACCGTTTTCGTTACAATCGTTTTCTTCTCCCATTACGCAAACATTTGGAAACATTTTATCAATGGTTTCACCCTCTTCCGATAACTTCCACCCGCATACAGGGTTGAATTCTGGTGAACATGGTCTCGCTCCGCATTGGTAAGGTCTTTGACCGCGGTAACCTTCTACAGCGCCTGGAACAAGAGGAAGTAGCAACTAAAAATAAAATAAAATTCAGGCTACGTTGTCGAGTGGTGATCTGACGGAAGTCTCTGTCGAATTAGAAGAAAAAGACCACCGCTGCGACGGGAATGGGATGGAAGTGCGACGGAAACCGAATGTCATGAAAAAATAACTAATCTCGATTCGAGAAGTATAATTGACCTAGATTAAAACCACAGGCGGATCTACGGAGTTAGGGGGGGAGAGGAGAAGGCTATTGGGCTTAAGCTCCTCCCCCCAAAATGGTAAAATAAAACCATGTCTTATGAAGTAAATATTAAAACCTATCTCTACAACTTATTTGAAACGTTAAGAGCGACAATGACAAGAGCCGCGGGAATCTATGTCCTCACTGAAAATGAATTTCCTCAGTTAGTCAGCGAGGAAAATTTCCCGCGGTTTGAGGATTTCATATATGGATGGAAGACGGCGGTGGGGCCCGCTCACTTCCATATGGGTGCCTGCAGAAGAAGAGGGCAAGCGCCAGGAAGACCTCCAGATTCTGGAAGCTAGGCCGAAACAAAAAGGAAGAAGATAGAACAGCTAGATAGAACTGCTATATGTGTGCACATCATGTTAACTAGTAGTAGTGTGTTATTAAGCATTCAGGCCTAATAACACACCCGTTATTGCCATTGTGGCATGGGAGGGTGGAATATATAAATAATACCTATCTCTAAAAGTATTATTGTTCGTGTGATTACGTTTAATACCTAGTTCTGCCATAAATACTGTTTCAAAAGTTGAACTTTTTTTATATCCTTGGATATTATTTAGATAATCCTTAACTCTATCAGGTTATTTTCTTTACATTACAGGATAATAATCCTTGATAATAATTTATTATCAACAAATTTGTTAGTAGTTTTATTTGTAAAAACCCAATTGGTTTGTATTTTTCTCTCGCTCAGTTAACATGGAGTGGGGTGATAAAGAAAACTGAATAGCTGTGATCGCCTTACACAAAGCTGGAAAATATAGGTCAGAGATTTTGAACACTTTGAAACTTTTGGGTATCAGCCGTATGTTCGTGTACCGCACTATAAATAGATATAATGAGACCCTATCTGTATGTGACAGACCTCGACCGGGTCGTCCCCACATTGTGATAACGGCAAATGCAGTGAGAGCAGAACCTGCTCGAATCAGAAGAAATCCCTTTCGAAAACAACAAAGCATGTCTCAGGAAATGGGAGAATCTCTGTCAGATCAATGTCTCGCATAATAAACATTGACCGTAGGATGGGTTCATTTCGAAGAATGACAGGACAAAGGCTAACCACTTCCCTAAAAATAATTAGAGTGGATAGATGCAAAGTTCTTCTTGGCCGTTACACCAATGGTCTTCATTGAAAGACTTTGTTTAGCTATGAGAAAATGTTTACAATTGAAGAAAATTTTAATCGCCAAAATGATCGAGTGTACGCGCACAGCTCTAAAAAAGTTCAGAAAGTCACTGGAAGAGTGGAAAGAGGTCATCACCCTTCCTCAGTGATGGTTTGGTGGTGAGTTTGCTTTGATGGCACCACAAAGCTCCATTTTTGTGAAAAAGGAGTTAAAACAGCCGCTATAACTATCAGGACGATATTTTGGAACCTGTTGTCAAGCTTCTAAATGATACTCTGTTTGCTGGAAGTCAGTGGGTTTTTCAGCAGGATTCCCCTCCAGCTCACAGGTCAACTCAGTGGTGGCTACAAAAGAACATTCAAGAGTTCACCTCTGCCTCGGATTGACCCTTAGGAAGCCCTGATCTAAACCCACTAGATTATCGGCTCTGGTCCGAACTGGAGAGGATGGCATGCCACAGAGCACAATCTAACTTGGAAAGCCCCAAATCTATGGTCCGAGCAGTTGAGCGCTTTCCTCAAGAAGTGCTGCGTGCTGCTATTGATACCTGGCCACGGAGATTAAATACCTGTGTCAAGGTAAAAGGGAGACATTTTGAGTAATTTCTTTTTTGTTTTACTCTCTATAGATATACATTTTATTTTCTAACAAAGTTTATTAAAAAATAATTTTTCTGTTGAAATCTGTATAAATTTCTTTGCAACAATATTTATGACAGGACTTGGTAGAACTTCAATAAGCACTTAAACACCATTTCATATAGGTGATAAGTTAATTTCTTTCTTTTTTCCCTAAGTAGTAATCATTATTTATAAAAAAAAAAACCTTTCGGGCTGAAGTCTCTCCTCCCCCTTCCAAGAATTCAATCCTGGATCCGCTAGTTATTAAAACTGTTGGTACTCAGTGGCACAGGTGGATTTACGGGGGGGGGGGAGGGAGCTTTCGGGCTGAAGCCCCCTCCCAAAACGGTAAAATATAACCATGTTTTATAGAAAAAAATATAAAAATATATCTCTTATAGTATTATTGTTCGTGTAATTACATTTAATAGGACTTCAAGAACCACTTAAACACCATTTCATATAGGTAGTTAGTTTCTTTCTTCTTTTTTTTTTCAAATTAATTATCGTTATATATATGAAAAAAAATCTTTCGGGCTGAAGCCCCCCAAAATTAAATCCTGGATCCGCTAGTGCTCAGTGGACCCGGAATTTGATGCTCTGCAACTTCTATTCTATGAGTTTTTGCTCTTAGAGAACTCACTTCGAAATTACAGGGTCATTTATAGTAATTTGTCTCAGTTTTTGAAACAAATTTGGTAAAAATCTGCTTTCGTTAACCGCAGTTATTGATCATACTAACTAACCAAATTATTAAGAGTAGGTACTGGTTTGACGAGCAATTTAACTTAATTTAATTTCTTGTGGAGTAAGTTTTAGCATCTATTAACCGTTTAGGAGTTAAAGGAAGAAAAATGTCTAAAACTCTGGCTTTTTTACTGTAAAAATTTTCTCTTAGAGGAATGCGTAAGAAACTTTGTTTTTTACAGGTTTAATATAAGTTAAAGAAAAACTAGTTTTGGTAAATGTTTGCTCATAAGAAAAAAAATCTTTTCCCATATATTTGCAACGAATTCCTCGTTACGGTTCTCAATTTACTCGCATAATATTCTTTAAATCAGGCACCATTTTTTTGTAGGTAGCTTGATCCGACTGGCAGACTCTTATTTTTTAAAATAAAAATGTTATAAATATTCAAATAATTTTTTCAAAATTTTCTTCAGATGTCAATTTTTTTTGCATGGGCTCTCGGATTAGAACATGTGAGCTGTTCATAATCTGCTCCTGTTTTGAATACAATTTTTTTCAATACACTGACAGATCTCATCTAATAATTAGAACAACTAGACATAAAAATCGGTCCAGCCGTTTGCTCAACAAAACATTAGTAAATTTTAGCGGAAAAACCAAATACCTAATTCCTTCGTGTGACTTCGCAGTAATAAAATAATAAATTATCCTTTACTAAAGATTGATTTGAGCTAATATGGAGAAAACCCTCTGGTGAATATACAACTCTATTCATTGGTATTGCCTATTTCAAAACTTGCATTTCATAACCTTGGAAAAGAATATTATCTATCAACTTTTTTAAATGTGGTATTTATTTAATGATGATTTTTATTAATCGCTCATGGTAATTTCTTCGAAAAAACATAACCCAATGACGCATATGTTAATAATTTTTACATAAATTACTTACTGCTATTTAGTCTGCATTTTTCCCAGCTCAAATAGACAACTTTCAAATCCTGATTGAATAGTGGGATGTGTGTGTATTGTATTAAACGTCAAATCATGTTTCATCACGTACACTCGAAATATTATCAGACAGTATTCCACAAAATATCTCTAGTCAAAATTAAAGGAAATGCAATAAGAAACTAGGAACTGATACTAAATAAGTACTTTTACTTCCATTTACCAACATATGTCTACTGCTTCATTCCATATATATAGGTACATATATACGGTCGCCCGTAAGTAGAGGAGAATATTAAAAAGGGCGATAGTCGACATCAAGTTCTACAAAAAGTTCATATAAACAATTGCCCAAATTTCCAGCAGAAATCTAGGAAATTTAAGATTTGCGTTTTTTAAAGCAGAACACGTTTTTTGTTGAATAGGAGGCGATAACTTAAAAAATATTTGATTTAAGTAATTAAACATTGCTCCATTGTAAACTAGACAAAATTTTTCTTCAAACAAAATCAGAGTTTGTCGTTGTTTAAACTATTTAAAGAGAACTGTTGGGCGGACAAACACAGCTAAGTTCCGTTAAAAAAAAAATCATAAATTATTTGTAATTCTTTTTTATGACCCTTCAATTGTACTCCATTTATCCACTTTTTGAAAAAACTCCTTCCTTAATAAGCTTTAAGTCCATATTAATTAAATTGAGATTTATTAGGAGGTTCGTCACCTAAAAATATTCGTTTTCAGCAAAAATTACTCCAATTAACTGTTGAAAAGCTTTTATTTATTGTATTTCCGTGTTAAGGGATGTATTTTAATAAACATAATTGCCTAAAAACACATTTTATTTATTAAAAGAAAAAAAATTAAATATAATTTTCAAATATTTTTCATGCAAGATGGTTATAATTTTTATTTTATTTTATTTATTTATTTTTTTTATGGACTTTGTCATAAACTGAAACTGATTTGTACTTATGAATGACAAACGTAATGTTTCTAGTATTGAAATTTACGTTTAAATTAAAGAAATCTACTGATTGCTTCAATTATTTTCGTGAAAACATTAACATTTATGTGGGTTAGGAGCATGAAGTTTGTCACTTATAAATACGAATCAATTCCTATGACTGAAATTCAGCGGAAAATGCAATTTTATAACCTCCTTTAAATGAAAAATATTTAAATTATTTTCAATTTTTTTATTTTTATAAATAAAAAGTATAAAGGCCAGTTAGGTCTATTACAATACATCCCAGATCCTGAAAAACAAAAAAAATAAAGCATTGTAACAGTTAATTGCAGTCTATTTTTCTGAAAACATGAGTACTTTAAGATGACTGGATAGGAAATCACTTCATTTGTCTACATACCTGTGGGGAATCTCATAATTTTTCCTAATAAACTTCAATTTATTTAATAAGGACAGAAAGTTTATTGAACGAGGAAGTTTTTTCTCACACAGTTGAAGTGTGAAAATGATATAACCACAATTTTTCTATGTATGTTACAAAGTACTGAATGGTTCTTTATGGCTTTTATTTACATAGTTAAGAAGAGACTTACACAGTATTAAAAGGAAATGCAGACTGTATTTCATCAGCTCCTTAAAATTACAGCACCGGTGTCACGATCATCTTCAAATACCTACTACACAACAAGTATTTTATTATTCATTAAAGTTTTATGATCGATTCATCGATAAACGTACGATCATTACACGTCATATTATTAAATAACGTTTGCTAAATTTTACCATAGGTAATTGTTAAATTTCTCTATTATACAAAAATGTTTTTAATGCCCGTGTAATATTTTATTTTTCTTATAAAAAACGGGACAGACCGAAACGAAAACCACACTTCTTTTTCCCAGATTTTTTTAAAAGTCCTATACTGCCCCTATTGTTAGATTAAAATATAATAGAGATATAGATGTACATTATTATTATTATTTATTTATTTATTTTTAAAAATCTATTTTGGATTCTTCAATAAATCTGCACAATGTCTTAATGCTATTGTTTTGGATGAGGGAGCATTTCCTCCGGCATTTATCATATCTCTTGCATTTTAAAATAATGTGCAATAAGTCCTCGATGGAGTTGCGCGTCGGACATTTGTCATTTTTTTTCAACTTTAATTAATGTCAAGCCGCGATTTGTTCGACGATGGTTAATTCTTAATCTTGCAAGTAAGACTATTTCTTTTTTGCTTAACTTAACACAAGTGTTAGAGAACTATGGGTGTAGATAGACGTTAGGTTGGATATTGAAATGATCTTCACCTTTCGAATTTGACTCCCAGGCATACCTATCCTGACATTCATTAATAAAGTGTTTTTTCTCCCATCTACAAATTTCCAGTAAAGGCAGTTTCGCATTTTCCGTCCTTCCAGAACCCCATTTTGCTATCACGTCAGCTCGTTCATTCCCATATAAACCCACATGACCTGGAATGACTGGACCCATTGAAACTTTTTTATTATTATTATTATTTCTTACTGATATTTACAACTGTATTAAATAAATACATTTAGCAAATTTGAACGTATCGATATAAAGACATGAAAACCCTTGCTGAGTAACTACCCAATGGTAGGAGATCACTGGGCCATCTTCTTTTCAGACGCCTCGGAGGGTTATCAGGAATTGAAAAGGAAGGAAGGTTAGAAACGTGAAGGTTGGGATGACTCTGAACTTTATTATGGAAGGATAGGATTGGGCCAGGTCTGAAACAAAATGAACATTAAGATCATTATGGATGGTTTTATTTGTAACAAAGTAGGGAGCATTGAGGATTTTACGAAGGATTTCGGATTGTAAGGATTGGATACGAGAGGAATTCGATGGTTTATTACAGCCCCATAGCTCAACTCCGTAAGTCCAAATAGGCCTTATTATTGCCATGTATATGAATCTTTTGTAATTAATTGGTAGCTTATAGCGTTTGTCTAGTAAGTGCTGAAGTAATCGGAATCGTCGAGCGGTTTCTTGTCGTTTCAGTCTAGTATGCCCATTGAACCTTAAATTTGTTATTTGTTAAGCGATGAACTTCTTCTATTATTAATTAGGTACAATGAAATATGTTGTCGATGAATGTTTTTTCAGTTATACCCAGCATTATGTCTCCCTTATTGTGGTTACAATTTGGCAATTAAAATAATTATAATTATATTATACACTTGCCAACTCGATCAAAGTTTAAAAAAAACTTCCTTGATCAATAAGCTTTAAATCCATATTAATTTAGTTGAGGTTTGTTATGAAATAAATTGAGATTTACCTATTCCAGTAACATGAATACATTTATTTTATTTTTTTTATTACTTTTTTTCATTAATAGTAAATTAATCACAAAAATAAACTTTTTTTTAATAACAGAAATGTTAAAAATAATAATAAATTTGAAAAATGTACTTTAAAACGTAATTTAAAATATTGCCTAGATTCTAACATTCTAAAATTATTTAGATGGAACATTACTGAAGAAAATACAGATAAATCTAAATAGGATGCTGTCAATAATTAATTAAATGCAAAAAATGCACTACTAAATTTGTTGGTGGAACTGCACATTTAAGAACTTTTTTGTGATTTCATTCATCTTAATGTCCAAAAATATTTTGAAACCAAATAAATGACATATCATTATTATTTTTATTTCTTAACATAAGTAATTAATCTGTCATGGTGATATTGAACTGTATTATACGAGAAAAAAAACTATTAATGTTTTATATATTTGTATAGTTTATCCATGTAGAACTTGGTATAATGAAACTCCCCAAAACGTTCGAGCTTAATGTCAATGTTATCAATTAATAGAGTCCTTAAAATCAATTGATTGCTCCCTTAAAATATTAAAAACTCCCTGAACATTTTTCTGAAAATGCACGTATTAATTTATTATTTTTTAAATTTTATTTCTTTAAATATTTATTCAATAATATAACATTCTGTCAATTGGAAAATGGTTATAGCCAGGTAAGATCACACTCGCACTTTATTTACAAACAAAATATAAAAAAAAAACCAGAAGGAATATAGCAACTAAATAATAATAAAGAAATATATTCAATAAATAAAATAAAATAATTAAAAAAATTAAGCTATTTATAATGCAATGTACTCTCATTGGTGTTTTTAACAGGATTTAAATCTCTAATTCTTAAAATTTCTTTCTCTAAAGTACCCTTTTTTTTAGTTTGAAATAATTAACCGTTTCATATTTGAAACTAATATAAAAAATGATTAGATATAATGAATGAAGAAATTGATTAGTAACTAAAGGAAAAATAGGGATTGGAAGCTATACGGTAACAGCCGAGAGCACCCGACCTTTGCCGATCGTCTCCATTTACAGATACCCCATAACTCCTCTGTACAGGGCTTTCAAATTGTTGGTTTAATTTGTATACATCACTTAATCATAATTTTTTTAAATGTTTTTCACACAAAATATGGAGATTCTACTAATATAATCTTAATATTATAGTATATAAATATAGTAAATATAGTATATAATCATATACAATATTTACTAACGCTAAGTTATTTTTTGACGGAGTTTCTTGATAAATGTTTACCATAGAACGTTAAATTTTAAACTAATTGTTTCCGATAAATTTTTTTCATAAGATCCAATTTTCCTCACAATCATTGGTATTTTTTGATACTACACACAGTCATAAGCAGGAGTGCCAGACGGTTTTATGGCGCAAGTTGAGCCATCAAATATTTGAGGGAGGCATATTTAGACGAGTTTTGGATGTTTTGAGGGGACACATTTCAACATGTTATGAATTTTAGAAATGAAAAGTTTCAGAATAAGTGAAAAGGAGAAAACATGGAGCAGACCGAAGATCTACGAATTTTCTAATTCTACTTTCCTTTACTCTGTTTTTAAGAAAATGTGAGCAATAAAATATCTTGGAAGAGAAGGATAGGTTCTTGCGCCATCGGAGGGGATGGGCATCCCTGATCGTAGAAGGAAAGGAAAAGCGATACAAACGTATAAATTTAAACGATTTTATGGGCGAGAAAAACATGGTAATTAATTGTTTCAATTAAAGTTATCGTCGTTTTCATTTTAATTTTCCTATAAATAAAAATATCTATGTATTCTAAGATTGGTGAGAGAAAGTTGTGTGATGCACTCACAGCACCAGATTTTTTATTTTATTATAAGTTGAAGTTGTTACTCACAACAAAACTAAAATCGCCCTTTGTTACATTTCCATTTTAAATAAGCGCTATTGCTAATTAATAATTAATAAGTAAACTCATTAACAAATCTGTTATTAATGTGTACAGGAATTGATTTTTCCTTGTCTAACTGTTAAGCTAATAATAATATAAAAAAGCACTGCAACACAGATCTGCCTCGTGATTGGTATTTTTATGAAAAATATACAACTTGTGACGACAACGAGGTATGAAAAAAAACGCATAGAGGTATAACAGAAGGGTGGAGATGGAGGGAGAGAACAGAATCCCTGCGACTTCCCTACCGCGATGTGGAACTATCTCATCTTAGTTTGTTCTTCTTTGGCACTCTCAAATGCTGCAAGTCTACGTAAGTATTAATTTTTATTTATTATTGTTTTATATTTAATATCATAGACAACGCCTTCTCTTACTTGATAATGAACTCCAAACAGGTGTCAATTTCAGTCATTAATTTTAATTTTTGCGATTGTTTGGTAAGAAATAATAGGAAAATAATTTTAATTTAATATTATAATATCCGCGTTAGAGACACCTTTTTATCAAATAATTAACACCCGTCTCTAACTTCGTGAATAGCTTCATCTTATTGTAGAGTAAAATTTTTTATAAATGAAAATAGTCAGAAATGGGCCACCTTCTAATTAAATAAATTCATTTAATGAGGCAATAAAAACTCATAAATGCTTATTTCCTTACCACTTGAATCTTAAGAAAATTTGATCCCTCACTTCCGGATAAATATGGCTAACAAAAATATTGGACCGTTAAATTTATGGAACCTCGTAATTTTGACATGTTAGGGACAATATTTTTGTAGGTCACCTTTTTCCCTCGATTTTGTAATCAAATTATCTTACGATTCAAAAACTTTCATATATATACAGGGTGTCCTATAAGTAGAGAGAAATATTTAATAGGTTGATAGTTGACATCAAGATCTACAAAAAAATTCATATAAACAATTGCCCGATTTTCAGCAGAAAAGTAGGAAATTTAAGATTTGTGTTTTTTTAAGCGAGTCACGTTTTTTGTTGAATAGGAAGCGATAACATAAAGAAATATTATTTTTTATAATAAATTATGCCAATTATCATCAAAATTTTATTGATACGCATTAATTTTGACGTTTCGACCATACTAAGGGTCATTTTCAGATCTTGATGAGTCCTCCGTTATATGTTCATCATTAATGTCTTAATTAATATGCTCAGTGAACATTAATTTGTCATGATCTATAGGGGTTTCGCCTACGTCATTTCTGGAGGGACTGATAGTCCCTGATAGACTGATAAAAAATAAAACTTCAAGACACCAAAATTAGGATAAATGAACAGAAGAAATAAAGAAATATTAGATTTAAGTGATTAAACATTGTTCCATAGTAAACTAGACAAAATTTAATTTTTAAAAAGTAGAGTTTGTCATTGTTAAAACTGTTTACAGAGGAATATTGAGCTGACAAACACAGCTAAGTTTCCGTTTAAAAAAAAAAATCAAAAATTATTTGTGTTTTTTTTTTATTACTCTTTAACTATACTGTATTTATCCCACTTTTAGAAAATCTTGCTCGTTTAATAAACTTTAAGTCCATATTAATTAAGTTGAGGTTTATTGGGAAAAATTTTGAGATTTTTGTGTGAAGAAATGATGTGATTTTCTTTCCAGTCACCTAAAAGTACCCTATTAGTAAAGTATAAGTTTTCATCACAAGTTACTTCAATTAACAGTTGAAAAGCATTTATTTCTTGATTTTCCCTGATATGGAATGTATTGTAATAAACATAATTGGATTTTATATATATATTTTTTTTCAAGTTTGAAAATAATTTCAAAAGTTTACATCTAGTTAAGATATTTCATTTAATTTCCTTGGAAACATGTGATTTCGGTTAAATAATATTAGTTTTCACAAATTATTATTTATAATTTTTTATCACCTTATAAGGCTTTGTTAGATTTTTTTTTCTAAAATACTCAGCTTTCCAATGATATATTATAAGCATACCTTATGTTTATTATTTTCGACCTAAGCTATTATATTACTCCTTTAGACAATTATCAAATTCTTTCATAGTTTATATTTAGCCTTTTACTTTCACTTACGTATATATGTAATATATAGTAAGGGTAAGTATTGTGATCGTGAAAATGCCACTTTATATGAACGCTGAAATACATTTTTACAATTTTCTCAAAAACGGCTCTAACGATTTTGTATCATTGTATAATTAAGTGGTCTTTAATGTCATTTAGGTCTTATTCCCGTTGATGTCACTTTACAGGGCTTAAATGTCCAATGTTCATATATGTCTTCCTCTAAAATACCTTTAATATGATTTATTTTAAAAAGTTAACCATTTCGCATTATTCAGAGTTACGAAACAATGCTACATAAAACTTTTGAAAGAATTTGATAAGTTAATAAAGGAGAAAAATAAATAAAAATGCAGAAAAACCTGCGTTCCTACAGAGTGTAGCGCCTAAAAGAATGTACCGATTTCAATGAAACTTCGCTAAAGTCATTTTCTCGAGACCCTAAATTTATCTATGTAACATACTTATATATACAGTATACAAACGAAAAGAAGCTGGAAAAAAAGTTACGAGGGATGTTAAAATTAAATTCCGAATAACTTAAAAAGTATACGCTTTTTTGTTGATATGGTTTTTAAAAGTTTCTTTTGGAATTTCCTAAAAAAACAAAAAAAAATCGTTAAAATCGGACAATTAGGAGGAAAGATATGGTCTCTAGTTTTTTCCCTGAAGAGGCGAATATTTGGATAAATTTAAAATATATTTTTTTAATTGTTGAGAGAAAAAACCTTCTTTCTACAAATATTTAATAAAGTGTCTTTCCTAAGAACATCTTTCATAAGATATAAGTACCTAAATTTATGCCTTTATTCATCACTCAAAAATGTTGAAATTGGAGTTAGTCATTCTCTGGTTTATGAAATCAAAGAAAGTTGTGTGGTTTCTAAAAGCAGATGGAGTGACTTGATTTTTATTGCCTGTCGTCGATATATTAAATAGACATTTTGTAATTATAATGGTCTTTATGACTTGTTATCTGTAAGCTTCAAGCTTTAGCTCCGTTTAAAATGCACTTCAAAAAATTGTATAATAGCCCAGCATTGCCAGAAAATAATTTCTATTCAAAGTAGATCGGTAAGTGAAAGTTGTGTATTGCGCTCACCAGATTTTTTTTTATTACTGCTAACAATGAGGAATAGTTAATTATTCAAAAGTAACCAAATTAAAGTTGATTAAGAGGAATAAATTTTGAACACTGAAAATTTAAGCCCTGTTAAGCGAAATCAATGGGAATAAGACCTACCAAAGACCATTTCATTATACATTAATACTCCAAGTTTAATCAAAGTTGTTTAAGCCGTTTTCGAGAAAATGGTAACATTGTGTAAAAACTATGATATAAAGACGCACTTCTGGTAAGCCGATTTGGACGAAAAAGTTACGGTAACAGGAATATACTTATGTACCTTATTACGTAATTTCGGTTTCGTATGACTTTTCGTTTTTGAGCTAGGCTGTTCACTTATACACATAGACTACTATAGACACACAGAGACCATTTTGTGGGACTTGATTATTTGGAATCAGAGGACCTCAAAACGTATATTTCCGTTGAAAATTCATAATCAAGACCGCAATAATTTCCTTGTTATATATTATACTTATGGGTAAATGTATGAAATTACATATATAAAATCACATAATTTTTTTACACAGCTTGAGGTGAATATCAGCTTTTTCTCAAAAAAAGCTCTATTTAATTAATATGAAATTAAAGCTTATTAAATAAATATTCAAATATTTTTGTTTCTCTTAGATTGTGAAATGTCTAAACGCATCGATAAAGTTCTATTTTAAAAAATGTTGATCATTGCAGTGTTAATACAGGAACTGCCATCTTTGAATATATATGAGAACCCACAAGGCGAAATCTACCGCTTTCTTGTTTTCTATCATCGATCGATCCCGATAAGTCCCAGAGAACTCTGGTAGGGAATTCAAAAAATATATATCACACGAAACTATTCAAAAATTATGATAAATTAATTTTAACTAACACGAGGGACCCGTATTCTAGGTTTTGTTCATTTGGGCAGACTCTTGTCCACTACATGTTGCTCATCCAACAGCTGTAAATTAGGCTAATCCGAAGTAGAAGAGGCAAAAACATTATCTTCCAACAAGATGGAGTAAATTATTGCCATGATTTTGTAAATAGTTTGCTATATTCATTGCTAAGTTGTGTCTTATTAATGGCTACAATTGTTATTTATACTACTTACAAACAAAGGGTTTATAAATCAAATTTTTGGAATCCTGTCACTTTGTGGCAGGATAGGAATCTCAATCAAAATTATGTTGAATTGTTAAATATATATATATATATATATATATATATATATATATATATATATATATATATATATATATATATATATAACGTAATTTAAAAACAATCAAACAAAAATTTTGGGATAAATTACAGTAGTTGAACAGAAAAAGTCAAACCTAAAAAAATATGGTGCTCTTACTGACAGATGGTTGTTCCTGGGACACTAAGTGAACTCCAAGGGACCTTCCTAATTTGCTACTTATTATTTCGGTTGCGATTTCCGGTATGACTAAAGCAAAGCAGACAAATACAAATACAAATACAAGGAGAAAATATAGAAACTAAAATATATGAAATAGAGTTCTAGGAGGTCCTGAAATTGTATTATTCCCATTTTTCGATGAGGATGACAGGTATCAGTACACAGTCAACTATTGGTGCTTTTATCCTAATTATTTAATGTTCATGTTCTATTTCATATTATTTCCCCATGTTCCAATTTTATTGAACTTATTATATTAATTACAGTTTAATTTTAGTAACATTATTAATTACCCAGAATTTTTTATGGCTGCAGAAAGCTAAACATTATAAGCAACCATGTTGTGTTCTGTTTTATTTTTTAAAGAGAAGAAGTTTTGGCCAAACATTGCAGACCATCATAATACTTTTTTAAAAAGTTTTTAGACACAAATGAAACATGCCCAAGGCCAAATAATAGTTCTCCAATAATCAAATCAAATCACAGACAGAATTAACATGAATTAGCAATTGTGTCAGGTTTTACCAGCAAAAAAACCTGACTAAACCCATTTTATGTATGCCATATTAAAATCTAAAATTATATAAAACAGCGGAAATAATTTAATATTCATCAGTCCAGTTGAAGCAAATAAAAACTGGTCCCAATAAATATTAATTAATAATTATAAACCTTTTTATTATTTAATGATTATCAAAGTGCATTAGTATATTTAAAAGTAGAATAAATAAATTGAATGGTCGATTTATTAAAAAATAATGATGTTAATAACAATTGGTTGTTCCACAGCTGCTTCGATACAGAAGTGCCAGAATGATGACAAACTTAATGACTGTATTATGGAGAACTCGAAGGAAGCCATAGCAGGACTGCTAAAAGGTAATTCTTGATTATTACTTAATATTTTATATTTATTATTACGAAATATAATATATTTAATTATAACTGGATTTAGAAATTATTAATTTCAATTATCACACAGCAGTTATATAATCCAAATGTTTGCCTAAAATTTATGTTAAGGTCTACAGGCTTCAAAACTTATCCAATACCAACTTTTTTAATGATATCAATTCTTTAAATCATTTTAGCTAGTACAAAAAATGGGAGAACTAAGAAAGAATTACCATTTTTTTTTTTTTTTTGTATTATTAACCTGTTTCTAAAATAAAAAAAAAATGGTTTTAAAATACAACAAAACAAGAGAAAAGACATAATTAAATTGTATTATTGGATTTTTAATTTCTAAATATTTTATTGAATTTAACAATTGTGATATGGAAATAGAAATTGATGATTTCATTACTAGAAAAATTTAATTTTGATATTCATTTTTCTGGGTGTGTTGATTCAAAACTGAATTGTAATTGACAGAAGAATCTAAATTTAATTTAATGACAATAAAGTTATTCTTGTCTTTTAAATTTGTTGAAATATAAATGTAAATAATTAGGTAAAATAAAAATCTTTCAATTCACTTAATGCATAAAAATATGATAAACATTGATTGTTGAATTAGTCGAGTCTCTAGTCTGAAAGAAAAAATAAGAAACAAGATGTTCACAGTTGACCAATAATCATTGGTAACAGATTCATAAAATAACAAGTGATATTAAATAAAGCAACTTAGGTACTTATGATTAGCTCAACTACTAGGAGAAATAATTATTTTTTAAAACTCACACAATTTAATTGTTCACTTTCTTAACTACTGTAGAACAGCTTGAATTCCTATCGTTAGTTTAGAATAGCAGCTGACTATAAAAATAAATATTTGATAAAGAAACTGTTTCTTTTATCTCTCTATTATTATCAGTTATATTTATGTACCCGAAATCTTGGCCATTTTTATAGGCACAGTAATAAATAACAAACTTTTAATAAGCAGCTAGTAATTTAGAAAATCTTGTCATGTTAGAAAATTATAAAAATCTTTAGATGGAATAGATGATTTTCAAATGTTCCAAGGAATATGGTTATTAAATATTATTAAGATTCTACCAAGTGGATATGAATTTAAAAAAAGACATATATAAAAAGAAAAAGAAATTTAATTTAACAATATTTATTTAAAGCGGTATGACCTCCATAAAAAAAATTAGAAAAAGGGAGAATATTATTTGTGAAAATTGAATTAAACCCCATGAAGTTTATTTTGAGGCACTGTTATTGATAAGCATTTCAGATGAAATATTCAAGTGTTACACTTTAAATTTAGAATTGGCCCCCCAAAAAAAAGGAATAAAATGACCCCATGAAGGATCTTGTATTCAGTAATTAATAAAGAAGTACAAGTGTAGCACACCAAATTAAAGTTCAGAATATTATAGAGGTGATTTTAAAATTATAATGGATAGCTGATGAAAGATGGTGACAGAATGGTGGCCACTGTATACAAAAAAAAAAAAAGAGAAAGACAGCTGATGAGATGAAGCGGACTCGAGAGAAAATTGGCAAAAACTAAGGAAGGTCTTTCCTCAATTTCGAACTTAATTCAGGAATTTAAAAAGCTATTACTTTTTTTTGTAATTCGTATTTTTGGTTTAGTTAATCACTTCTATCCTAGAGCAGAAAATAAATTTTATTATTGGATCCAGACTCAAAAGGTAATTGTTTCTAATTAGTTCTTAATGGTCAAACTCCGGAGAGTGATTATAGGAAAAATTTCTAACAAAAAAAAAGTTCATTTTAAGCATAAGCCAATTCTGAACGGAAAAGAAGTTAAGACCAGTTTCGTGTCTTTCTTAAGGTGGTCACGTTTTATATTGAATAAGAAGGAATTGCTTAAAAGCTATTCAAAATAATAATTTCTAAGTACACCATCTTAGAGTACACAAAATTTTCTTTTAGAAAACAGTGATTACATTTACTAAGGTCAATGATAAAAGAGGAGGTCTAATATGACTGCTGTGTACGAACTGAAAATATAGAGATATTCTGCTCATGGATGGGTACTGTAAGAGAAGCAGTACAGTGGCTGTATTAGGCCTACTGAATGTCAGCTTTATCAATAACCTTAGGAAAATTAATATTTATTAATATAATAAAAGGAAAATATTCACTGTTTTTATCAAACAAATGTTGTCAACTTTATGATGGTGTACTTAAAATTTAATTTTTTTGAACAGTTTTTGAACAATTTCTTCTTATTCAATAAAAATGTGACCACCTTAACAAAAACACAAAATTGGTATTATCTCCTTTACCTTTTTGAATCGGACTATGCATCAAATAAAATTTTTTGTTGGAAATGTTGTCTAGAATCACCTCTCAGAGTTTGGAAATTAATAAATGAGAAATCCTGTATAGTTATACCAAATAAAAACTGTTCTAGGCATACCATCGCTGGGAATTCCTGTTTTGGATCCTTTAAAAATTGAGAAAATTGAACAGACTACAAGCGGATCCAGAAGTGTTTCAATGAATTTCTCGCTGAGTGATGTCGAACTTAAAGGCCTTAAAGACGCTGAGCTTGTCAAATCAGAGTGAGTAATAAGCTACCAAAAAAATAAATTAACAAAATTGTAATTATAGATGGTGAATGGATGAGGGAAATCATAATGTTTTTTTTTAATTGAGTTATTGTGGGGGATGAAAGAGGTATGTTTTAGCCTTTTCCATTACTAGAGTAGGCCTTTAGGAGCTTTAGTAATCTAGAGACTAGTATAATGAAGGAAGTATTTGAAAATGATAAACTATATTATACGGTATATATATATATAGTATAAGATTTGTAATTGGGACCCCAAGACGCTCCCATGTTTCCCACCACTACACTGAGTTAGGGTGGCTCTTCTCCTTAAGAAGACAATATTTCCTAGGCACATTCCTTTATCAAATCATTAAGGACCATCGTCCTCCTTATGCCTATAACCTCTTCCAATTTAAGTCCTCAATCCATTCCCTCACCACAAGATCTCGACCTTCTGACCTATACATCCCTTCTCATAGATCAGCCTCATTCCAAAACTCCTTTATAGCCCGCTCTGTCAACTTTTGGAATACCCTCCCGATCAAAATTCGGCATTCCCCCTCCGTATCCACATCCAAAAATTGATACTATTCCAATTCCTGTTCCAAAAACAGTCAGATAGCAGCTAACTATTAACACTATATATGTATTGCGTAGCAATCATATAATCATACGATAATACTGTGTAAGAGGTAGTACATGTATTTCCTACTTTCGATCTAGAAATTTCAATACAACTATTTTTTTTTTAAATATTTTTTTTTTATTCAATTGTAACTATCTTATATATATATATATATATATATATATATATATATATATATATATATATATATATATATATATATGTAAGTAAAGTTTTTTTATGAAATGAACTTATTCTATCTCTTTTTCATTCTTCATTTATCAAAGTGTATGTTTAAGTTGTTCAACCATTATATATAGTTTTGTACATAGTTTTAAGTGATTTGTTCATAGTTTTAAGTGTTTTGTGCATAGTTTTAAATGTTTTGTACATAGTTTTATCTGTATTGTATATAGCTTGTTTATCTAAGGTTTTCTTTACTTTTTAGTTTATTTCATCAATTTTATTTATTGTTTCAAACTTTTAAGCCAGTAGTATTCTATTCTTTTTGTACAATTTTGTTATTCTAAAGGGGCTTAGTCCCAGAATAAAGTTTTTTTTCTATCTATCTATCTATATTTCTGGTGAAAGAAGGAAGATTTATGCAATGTAAATAAAGTAAAACTTACCTATGTCAAAGATTTTTATTTTATTTTTTTGTAAGACTTCTTTATGAAGTAGAAAAAAAAAATTGAAACCACGAATATGATTACAGGTTTGATACGGCTAACAAAATAATTCAGTTCAGCATAAAAATACCACAGTTGGTGATAACCTCTCATTATAATTTGAATGGGAAATTCTTAGTTGTTCCGGTAACAGGAAGTGGAAAACTAATGCTTACAATCGGTAATATATATTAGAGAGAAATACTTTTAAACCAAATTTAACTTAAAAAAAAATTATTATAATGGATTTATCAAATTTATTTCTTTTGCAGATGAACTTGATTTCACTTATTCAATGAATTATAATATAGAGGAAAAAGATGGAGTTGAATATGTAATGCCCAATTTCCCAGGGAAGTTGACATATGCTTCGAAAAAAGTAACACCTGTGTTCGAAAACCTTTTCAATGGCGACCAAGATCTAGGTATATTTTTATATACTATTATATTATATTATATCATATTAGCAGGGAAAGCATTTATTTTAGTAATTGAATTGATAAAAAATAATGTTTCCCTGATTGTGAAAGAAACGTCAGCTTTCTCAACAAATGTTAATTTTCAGAGGAGGGGAGAAGGTTGGATGGTAAAGAAAAATAAATTAAAAAATATATTTCTGGGCAGTCCATCTCTGGAGCTGCTGACTCAATTTATTATTTTTTAGTTTATTATTTATTACTTTAAGAATTGGTATATTGATTGATATTTAATTTAAATATCGGCAGAAGGGAACATGCTATTTATATAGATATTATTTTTCATTCTTAGTAGCAGCTTATAATTGTCAAAATGAGATAATAGTTAAAAATAACACAGTATTTCAATTCAAATAATGCAACTCATCATTTCATCATTGACCGATTTTAAGGCAAAAGATGCTGTCATATCCAAGGCATATATCTTAAATATAATATCAGTTTTGTACGACTTTTTGTTTTTGAGCTACACTGTTCACATACACTAACTCACACACAGACCATTTTGTGGGACTTGTTTATTTGGACTCAGTGAACCTCAAAACGTGTATTTCCGTTGAAAACTCAATTTTGACAATTCTTACGATCTCAGTATTTTCCCTTACTATATGTTACATATATATAGATAGGTGGAAGTAAAAAGATTAATTAAATTTGAATAATGATATATGTAGATTTTAAAGTTAATATTTTATACAAACTTTTTCAGGCGAAAATTTCAACAAGATGGTAAATGAAAACTGGCAGGAGTGGGATGCTCAGGTCGGTCCGGGAATAGCAGATGCGCTCGCTCAAGTGATAGGAACTCTTTTAAAGAGAGTCACAGATGCGGTACCCTACAAAGAGATGTTTCTTTAATTTTCAGTGTAAATGAATTTATCAAGGATTTGGATTGAACATAGGGAAGTAACAAAGAAAAATCAACGATATTGTACTTTTAAATAATTATTTGTTTAAAAACGATTTAGTTACTTTAGATCAAGGGCTCTTAGCATTAGATTGTATACTTCTATGCATTTATTGCAGTGATTCATTTCAATCACATTAAAATAATAAAAAAATAGCAAATTTTAGCCAGTTGAAGAACATTTGTTTTAGAACAAGTGTGAAAAACTGCAATTTTAACAATGAATCTTTGCAAAAATATCTCAATAAAACTACCCTTCTAAATTACATGATCAAGAAAAACCTTGGATTGAGGCTAAGAACTCTTGTTTTAGATAGATTAGATTTTGATATTTATGTAGTTTTTTCAATTCAGTTCTATTAATAAATATAATATAATACTCAATTGATTGAACAATAAAAAGATGCAATAAGATGAGTGGTTTATTTTCCTTACCCAGTTTGTTTTTCTATTTAATTAGATTTCAAATAATAGGACACAATTTTTTGTAAACCACAATGTGCCCTTTTTTTATCACTGCTTAAAATTAAAGCTTCCATAGATAAAATGATTTCCCTAAAACCCCATGATTTAAGGCTTCTATTATTCATTAGGCAACAAAGTGTGGCTTACCACTAAATTTATGAAGGATAAAGCCACTTTGGACCAGATATTTTCCCTAAGGACAATTCTGGAAAAAAAAAAAAATGTATATAACATTACAACATACCCCTTTTTCATCAACTTTGAGAGGACCTATGATAGTGTAATCAGAAGGATCTGCCAGCAATTGGAATCTCAACCAAGCTTGTTTCACTGATTTACTTGACTATTAAGAATCTAAGGATGTTGAAACTGATAAAGGACTGAGGAAGAGTGACTACTTGGCACGTCTCAAAGTTTGCTGATGATTTGCAGTTCATGGTAAGTTCTTCTGCTATGAAAGAGTCATCCCTTGCTCTGAAGAATGCTGGACTCTTAATACATCAGGAAAAAATGAAATATATGAGGGCAGACCTAGTAGGTAGAGATTAGTAGCCATTCAAAGTTAAATTTTGGGAATGCAATTTTTAGTGAGTGACCGAATTCGTACACTTTCACTTTCAAATGAATGCAAACAAAATCATGCCACATGAAATTGATAGAACGTTGATTTGATAGGTCCTGTTTGGTTTACAGAAATGCCTGAAAAGCAACTTTTTTTTTACTGAAAGTTCTAGATTTACAGTAAAAGTTTAACTTTTATTTATTTATGTTCTTTAAATAAGATCCCTTAAATGATAAATAAACAGTAATTGGGTATAGATTATAGTTGTAATTTGTCTTCAATAAATAATACATGATTCTTATATATCATTTTTTTGAGTGGCTAAGAATAAAAATAATTTTTTAGATCGGTTTTTAAGCAAAATTGACAGAACTTTTAAATAAAAGTTTTTAAAAATAACAGTTCTGTAAAACCTTTACTGGAAAAATGTCAAGGGAAAAAGTTCTAGTTCCAAAATAATTAAAAAAACAATCAACAACAAATCTGGTGATACCGCAACTTTTTAAAAATAAAAGTTTTTTTTTACTGTTTCTACAGTATATGAGACCAACAAAAAAAAAAAACTCGTATTATTTTAAACAGGGCAACGTTCTTGTTGAATAAATGAATATTGGAAATACAATGATCTGTGTAATGAAAATGGACTTAAAAATTGAACAGGTTGGTTATAAAAGGTCCTGTATTTAAATAAATAAAAGATCTAAAATCTGAGAAGTCATTTTTCTCCCTGAAATTTCTCACTTCAATATATTTTAGCAGCCTTAGAAAAAAATAAGAAATACTATATTCTAGAACAATTTTATTTACAATTTATTGGAGGATGAGACATATTACAATAATCTTTAAAAAATATTTAATTTGCAATTAAATGTAATAAGAAATGACCATTCATAATATATTTAAATTCATAATTTATTAACAATTTAGGAAAATATGGAACTGATCAAAGTTAAAATATTATTTTAAGAACTATTTTCTTAAATGTAATGAGAATTTCTGGAAAAATTTGACTGCATGAATTTGTGTCTTCTCCATCTGATGAGAACTTACCTTTCTTCAATAATGAATGTCCCAGGCACAGCCGCTTCCTTATTTTAATTTCATTGCTTCCACATTCCTGTAGATCAGATATAATGTCATGTCATAATATCCTATATGAGATATAGCAACATCAATATTAACTCAATTTGGGATAAAAATGTTCAACTTCTAAAAACTATCAAATGAAATAAGCTAACCACATAATACCTCTATGGTAAATTACAAATAGCCTAACCTTCTACCTTTATTTATTTACCGGAGGTTACTGAGTTTATTTTTGAATTTCATGACCGGTGTAATTGAATTTTGTAACAAGAAGTACCCTAATTGAAAGGTATGAAATTCTATTTTGAAACAATCCAAATAATTCAACCACATTTTTCACTCCTTTGTAATTACTTGTTTATTTATTTTTTTAATGAAAAGGTTAAAACTATAAGTACTTATTTGTTAAGATCTTTGTTCGTTATTGAATCGTTTTAATTTTTTTTTAAATGAACTTTCATGATGAATTAATGTACACTTGAAAAGATTATCCTGGTAATCTCGTATTGGGCTTATAAATTTAGAGGAAGTTAAGTAATATCCCTATATATTTTCCTTAATATTCTAATTGTTATCATATTCTTTTGATATGTAACATTAGACATTTGTATTAAATAACTGATAATTTCACGAAGACCTAAAAGCTACACTGTGCAAGGTGTTTTTACTTTGAATATATTTTTCATGTTGGTAAAACATTAAAGAATATTTTAAATCTTCTAAGCCATAATCATATTCATGTTCACATTATTAATTGAAACACATTGGAGGTTTTGGAATGTTTTTGCTTTATATAAAATGATTAACAATAAAAATCTTTTATGGCCTATTACTTCTATTTTTCTAAAAATGACCGGAAAAAGTCAAGAAATCACTTAAAAGGTTCCAGTAGACATTCTGTGGATCTCAACATAAAGTTCCTTCATATATTTGCATATATTGTACTCTTATATTTATCATATACTAACGAAAATCAACTCAATGAAAAGAACAAATCATTAGACAATTTAGAAATAACTGATTCCAGTAGAAATATTTAAAAATTAAAAGCGTAGCCAACTATTGAATCTCTTGGGTTTCTTTTAAATTGTTCAGAACTGTTTCTTTTTCATATTTCAATTTGTTAGATGTGCAATGAACTTTTATACTATAATTAATACAACTAAATTTAACCCATGGGGATTTGAGACTTGGACCTTAAGCAAAAACTCAGAACGCACCCTCAACTCCTGGGAGAGAAAAATATGGAGCGGAATCATTGAGAATGGAATTTGGAGGGAAAGAAAGAATGAGAAGCTGCGGAAACTTTATGGGGAACCTGATATTGTGGCATTGATAAAAAGAGCCAGAATCAGATGATTAGGTCTTGTAGAAAGAATGCCTGACCAAAGAATGCTGTGAGAAGCCAGATGGCAAAAGAAGTAGAAGGTGCTCTCGGATCAGATAGCTGGAGGATGTGGAGGACGATCTGAGGTGGCTAGGTATTCGAAGATGGTGGGAAGTAGCACAAGACCGTGGAGATTGGTTGACTGTAGTGGAGGAAGCCCGGTTTCTTGCAGGAACCCATAGCGCCATAATAATAATAATATTTAACCCAGGAGTTAAATATGTATATTTTCTTTCTTCTGTTAAATAATATTCATTGAAATTGAGGTTGGAAAACTTTCATTTTTTACTGAAATTTCTTAAGAGGTTTGAATATTGTTAAACATGCATACATAGGTTAAAAGTGCCATTTTTCATTCATTGACTACTTAAAATAGGCACCTTTTGCAGTACTCCAAAGCAAAACAACAAAAACAGTATTAAATGGCGTTTTCTAATAATGATTTGTAAATGTAATAATATATCATTAATTTAATTAGATTTTTTATACAGGAAGTGGTCATGCATCCGGATCTTTCGTCCCATCTTCATTCTGATGAATGCAACCTTTTGATACAGAAACTATTGGATTGCCGCAAAGAAGTAACATTCTTATATTTAAAATTTCAATTGTAAAAAAAAGTTGTATTGACACTTCCAGTACTGTACAAAAAAACAGAACTTTATTTATGTGGAGACATTAATAAATTATTTTACTTATTACAACAAAAAAAAAAAAAGTGAAGATAAATACATGTCTAAATTGAATTAGAAGTATATATATTTTTTTTTTTTTTATTAAAATATAACTTTATTCAAATAAAACAAGAAAAGTTAGTAGAAGTGAAAATCGTTATTTTCTACTAAAGCTATAAATGTCCACTATGTCAACTCCATTCATATTGTACTTAATAAATATGTATTTTTATAGAATTATGTATTTTATCAATGTTTGTCCATGAACTTTTTTTTACTAGCACTAAGTATTTTTTAAAAATATTTCTAAATTTTAATATTATTTTCGTTCTTTCAGAATAAAATAGGACACTGGTTTGGGAAATGTACTGACATTGATTTTGAGTTGAACAAATGTTTAAAAAGGGAGGTTAGTTTCAATCTTAATACTTGGAACATCAGAGTGTTCGTAAAATTTATTTTATTTGTTGACCTGTATTATTTATATTTACCAATTATTATCTTTTAATTTTTGATAAGTAGTTAACTTTTTCACAGAGAGAGGAAAAAAGAAAAAGAAATGCAGAAAGTGCGCTGAAACGAAGAGAGAAATTGGTAATCAAATCTTAATATTAGAAAATATTTGCATTGTACAAATTGTATAGTTAGCCTTTTGTTAATAAATATATTTATTTTTTATTTCTTTATTTTTTCTATTCCTAAATATACATACATAAATCATATAATTCCCACCTGTAGAGAATACAAATTTACCATTTTAAAGTCAATAATAAAAACTATAATAATATATATATATATATACTGTATAGGTAAGTTTTAAGACATTTATACATTACCCTAACCATGGCGAGCACAGTTAAGTGTTTCTGCTTAGTTTTTGAAAAATATTTGTATTGAAGTGTATATATATTTTAAGTAAAATTAATTAAAAAAAAAATAATTCCCTGGAACATAAGTCTGTTACTTGTCTACCTCTGTGTTGCTTTTTCTGTTTACCAAGAATTTGTATGTGCATTATTTTTATAAAAATGTGTAAACCTGGTATTATTATTAATTAGTTTTGTTAAATTATAATTCTACCATATTGAATTGAGTTATACCAGTTAAAAAAATTTGAAATCTCTAATGCTCTGTGGGTTATTGAAATTAATTTTTATTACATTCACTTAAATTGTTATTAACAGCAAAGAACTTGAATTATTAAGAGAGTAATCAAAATAGTGTCTAAAAAATTGGACTTTCATTTAATGCTGATTGGAGTGTTCGTTCCTTGGTTTTGAGTCATAAATGTTCCTCCTGAAGCTTTGTGTACTGATCGCCAATTTTCTGAACAGCAAAAAAAGACACATCCATCAAATACAAATTATTCAATCAGTAAAATTGTGAATAATAACAAGCTCACTCTGGTATATCAGTATAAATACCTTACTTTACTAAAAAAATTAACCCTTTAGTTGCGCAAAGCCAATATAATGGCTCGGGCCGGCCGTGGCACCAGTGTGTAATGCCAATATAGTGGCTGCGAAAAGACCATGCTCCTGGTGTGCAGAGCCAATATATTGGCTTCAGCTTTTTATCATTTAGTCGTGCAAAACCAATAGGCTACTTACAGAGCTCTCTATCAGGTACCCCATGAGTCATAGGTTGTTACTGGAGCTACTAGATTGGGTGAGATGTATTATTTAGTCATGGATATCCTTTAGGATGAGGGGTCTGTCCTGCTTTCACCCCTTTTTCATTTATTCTAGTCTTTTGAACACAGTTTAGCTCTAAAACTAACGCAGTTGCGATTGGTAGCGTTTTGAAGGGTGAAAGTTGAAAACGAGTTTTCAATTTTTTTTTCGAAAGTATTTCTTTTTTTTTATTTCCCATATGAGATATTGGTTAATAATAAAAAAAATCAGATAAAGAATAAAAAAAGTAATGACACTATTATTGTAAACAAAAATAAGAATAGATAAAAAAATAATATAAATGTTTCAGTATATTGTTAAAGTAATATAAGACAATTAATAAATTATAAAATTAAAAACCTGTACTGCTACGATCCATGAAGGTTCTTGGGTTCAGTACTATATAGGGAAAGTACTGTTTCTTAGTCTATGGTTGTGCAAGGAGGTGATTTGACCGAGATCACAATCAAACACCAGGTTTTCTCCTTAATCAATTTTTTAAATTAAGGTACCCACTTTATAGAGGCTGGGTATGCCATAGGAGGGTCTACCTTCCCAGAGTCGTCCCACAGCCAATGAAACAGAATAAATAATTTTTCTGCCATGAGCCGGGATTTGAATCTAGGATCTTTAGCATTGGAAGCTCAGTACCCTTGAGCGCTGAGCTACCCTACTCTGACCTATAAAAACTATTTTTCATAAAACTGAAAGATATTTAAAATTAAAAAAAAAATTAACTGTTTATTGAAATATGAGCTAACATCATATTAAGAAAAATGATATTTTAATGAGAAAAGTGCAAATAGACGGGAGCAATTCAGTGAATAAATCCCATGTACAAGAGGTTGGCTAGGTCTTCACTGAAGGCCCTTCAGTACCCTACACACATGGACCTGACCTTGATTCAGGCTCTGTGCAACTAAAGGGTTAAGGGATACCTACTGTTCCAGAGTAAATTCATTATTCATAAGATTTCTAATACATCTCTATAGGAATTAGAATAAACTTAAAATAATAAAAAAGGAGCTGGTTGAGAGATGTCCTGTAAAATCCAGTAAGATTTTCCATTAGGTTTTCCAAAGGAGGTGTTGGTTTACATCACTCTTTCATTTTATATATTATATTTATATCACATCCTCTTATTCTCACAGTATTACAGGTGTATGTATAAAATAATAAAGACTAACAACAAACTGATTTACTGTGCTTGAATAACGAATCTGAAGAATTAAAATTTATTTATTGATTAAATATTCAAAATTTCTACTCAGGAATGCAGCATTAAATCTGTTTGGAGGATAATGCCTAATAATATTCTACATTATTGCTGTTTTTATTTCTCGGTCATATAATGCGACTTCGACAAGAGGAAAAGAGCAAACTAATATGGTAAGTTTCAGCATACTAACCTTCGAACTCAGTAAATGTGTTACTCAAAACCAGGAATGTTTTTTTTATTAAATATAAATATAAAGTATTAAATATAAAGCATATTGATATCTGTGATAAATCTGGTAATTACCTTGAAAGAGCAATGGTCAAATGGTATGTATAATTTTATTGTTTAAGATTAAATTATAATTATTAGCAATATTATAGATTTTGGTAATTTTTAGAGCTTTAGGTTGTTCATAGTAATTAATGTTTAGTCACTCAAGAGATACAAACACATTCAAGGAGTTATTAAAAATTAAAATCACTTGTCAGCAGATATTGATAATATTTAATGGTAAATATTAATGAAATTGCAATTAAAATATAAAGCAAAAAGAAAGGAAGATGGACAAATGTATCATTATATAACAGTGGTGAACAAAATTGAATTATAAAACGATTGAAAATGGGTTATTTGAAATTCATGCTCATAAATATCATCTTTATTTGATAATTGAGATAAATACAACAATGAATATATTTATTTGTAAATTATTTTATTTTAAACAATTGTCTTAAATTTAACTACAAAGGTCGATAGTAGATTTTGATAGTTACAGAGTATATATAATACGTGACTGGAGCCATATATACCAGTTAATAATTTCTACAGTAAAATAACAAAATATACATTATCATTATTTACTAATAATGGATCTAAAATATCTAATCACAAAACAATATTTTTGAAAAAAACAATAAAGAATCACAATTTACAAATGCCATTGCAACCTTAAAATTGTATATAGAATAAAATAAACCATGGCCAATAAATCTTAAATTATCATTTAATAACGCTATTATGGCTCAAGTTCCTTAAAAGGAAAGTTATATTTCTTGTGTAAAACATTAAAAAATTAACTCGTTATAAATGTAATAATTAGTGCAATAAAAAAAATATATTTAGAACACATTTCTGAATGTGGCAATCATTTGATTATTGCTTAAAAAAATAACAATAAAACAATTCAAATAAAGAAATTACACAGTTCAGAAGAGCTTTTGCGCTCTGCACAAACCACAGCCGACGTAGAACCAACTTCCAGTTTTTATATAAAATGCTCACATATTCACAAATATATCCCAAAAACAACATTTAAAAATAATAATAAAACAATTATATATTAATATTAAAACAGCACTATATACAAAAGAATAGCAAGAAGTAGACTAGATACAACAATTTTACAAATCGTAATTGATAATTATCTCAAGTGTACTATTTAAACCAAACATTTGGTATAGACTTGAACTAAATTTTTAACACATTGCTTTCACACTGGCAGGATACCAAAGCTACAGAATAACACATTGATTTAAAAATATTTATTTATATTCAGTTGGCAACTTTAGGCCCAAGTTGTCGAAGCACCTATCCCTCAGACGGAAGGATGTCAACTTCCTCCGACCAGCTCATGTTGAGGCTGCCAGAGTCGGAGGCACCATTCAGCCTGAACAGGCGAGTCCCATTGTCTTCTGAGAGGCCTGAGCTAGTGGTGTCCTCTTCTGATTCTGAAGGTGCCTCGTCGTCGGAAGCCTCACCAGATATCATTGCTTCCCCGGCGGAGTCCTTCGGCAACGGGCGCTCTGTTCTCTCTCCTACCCTGCGCAGCATCTCCGCTTCCTCCTCAGACTTTATCCTCTTGGGCAGGTCGTCTATGAATATTTCGCTATCGTCTACAGACAGGAGCTCGAGAACTTCGCTTCCGCCGATCCCCTTCACCATGATAACTTCTTCAGTGATGTTCTCGGCTTCTGCTTGTGCTTCCCATGAAACCTGTTCAAACATTCATAAATAATTATATAATAACTAGAAATTATATTTCTTTAAATAAATAAAATAATATTAAAAAAAAAAAATAAAAAGAAGAATTCTAGAACGGAAAACTTACAAGGAAATACTATATAGAAGTTGAAAAGTAACAGAGGAAGCTTCTTCACAGGCCAAATAGGTGTTGTTCCAGCTGACATTTAATCTATGGATTTAGAAAGTGAACCATGCAAGTTTTTCTACTTGACAAAAGAAAAGAAAAATTATATTTGTTTTTTAAAAGGAAAAATGCGCTAAGAATTAAAAAAAATGTACTTAGCAGATGAATAGAAGTACAATAAGCCATATATAATTTCTGAAATAACTCATTTTAATTTTAAAAAAATCAGTAAAATTATATCACTGCTCAAACATTAAGTACTTTTATCTCTACATATCAATTATTTCTTTTATTTATAAAAACAAAAATATTTAACAACTTATATATGACCTCAATATTTACTTCTGTTTAACTGCTTCAGTAATAGACTTCCTTCAATTAATATTATTTCATTCTTTAAGAATAAAGAATTTATGAACTTGAACCACAAAATATATCGTTGTTAACATATTCAAATCGTTAGAAGAATAATTTAAAATTAATCTGATATTTAGTATTTACAGGGCTAATTATATTGAATATTGCTAACAATGCTTGATTGGGAAACCTCGAGTCGGACGACTCCTTAGTTTACAAAAAAAATTAAAAAAAAAAACAGTATTGATTCTTCAGTGTAGATTCATGTTTGGTGTAAGTTATATAGCTAAAAATACATACTTTTATTATTTTAATTTAAGAACAAATATTGACTTTTTTTTTTTACAATTACTTTTTTAGGTGGAATATTTTTTTTTTTTATTCAGTATATGGATAATTGAAGTTCACATACTACTATAAAGAGTCAATTGGTTAGTTAGAGAACTTTCCATACACTGATTAAAAAAAAAGTTATTTTAACAAAAATAACATCTAATGTAGCTCCGGCTACCAATTCAAATAAAATGAAAATCACTAAGTATGCATTTTAATAAATTTTATTAAAATACATATTTTATTTCATTAAATATATTTTTAATAAAATTTGAATATACATTTTAATTTTATTTAAATGTGACTGACTAGAGTAAGAATATGCTCCTGCAAAAGGTTTTTTTTTTTTTTTTTTATTAATTTCTTGATTTTCAAAAAGTTCAATAAATCCAAATAAAATAAATTATTACAATAGAGATACCAATTTAAAATAATTGCGGTTATTTAGAATAAAAAGGAAAGAATTTAATCAACGAGGAAGTCTATTTTATTAATATATAGCCTTTCAAACATGCTTGGTATTTACAACTGTCTAAAAGAAAAATACATTATTTAATTTAATACATTCCATAAATGAAAAAGAGTTCTTATCATCATGCATTAATCGTTAATGAATTAAATTATTGAATTTATTTTAGATAATTAAACTTTTTAAAAGAAAAAAAATTAATTAATCTGTTAATAATTAATACATCATTAAACATTAAAAAAAAAAATAGTTGAACCTCTATTTACTAAAATTTGGCTAAAAAGTTCCAATAATAAAATGAAAATTATAATTGTTGCACAAATGAACATCATAAATACATAAACATTAGATTTAAATTTTTTGAAGGATAAAGGAATTTTTTTTTTTTAAAACCTGATATTAAGTGTATATACTTCACATTTTTTTTTACTCTAAAATTCAATAAATTCTTAAAGAAAAAGACTTCAAAATTTTAGAACTAAATCGTAAACAAAACTTTCATCATTTGTTATCTGGTTTTAAGTTGTCTTAATTAAAACTTTAAAAAAAATTTTTTTCACATATAAGATTGTTTATAACATTCAATACATAGAGATTGAACTGTGCAAGGCATAGTTAGTTTTATTACAAATCATGCAACACAAATTTCATAAAAATGATTTTGTTTTTTTAAATCATCTATAAAACAAATTTAAACCATTAATTAATTAGATTTATTTTCCTTCACAATTTTTTTTTTTATATCACGCATTCGTAGAAACATGTTTTTTATGAAAAGTATAATTTATATCAAAGATTGGCAGCTAGAAAAATTATTTTAGGAGTTAATTTTATCCCATAACTTATTCCACGAGACAAGTTTAATTTGAGGTTGACGAATAGACTTCAATCAAAAACTAAGTCTGATACAACTAACACCAGAAATTCTATTCGATTGTTTGAACTTTTAAAACCTTTATAAAATAATATAGATTTTATCTATAATAAAAGAACGCATACTTAGACACACAAAAATAGCACATACAATGTAAATAAAGAATTGACCACAAGAGAATAATATAAAAATAAAAAAAAAAAATGATGTAGAGATGGTTGACCGTTGATATAATATGAGAAGGAGTTAGTCGAGGGTGCGGTCAAATAAATAAAAAAATAAAATATATTAATTATTTTAATTTTTGCTGATTAAAATATATTAATTATTTTAATTTTTGCTGATTAAAATAATTAATATATTTTAATTTTTTATTTATTTGACCGCACCCACGACTAACTCCTTCTCATTAAAAAAAAAATATTTTAAATAAAATAATTGACAAAAGACTCTCTAAATAAAGAAGCTATGCTTGCATAAAGTCAGTTTGAAAGATTATTCACATATAATATAATGATTCTATCTATATAATATAAGTATAAAAGAAGTTATTTTTACGTTTATGATTTACACATTGTTTTAAATTTAAAATATTTAATATGATTGATATTTTTACTTTAGTTATTGTTTATCAAAACTTTATCTTACACAAAACCACATTACATTTTAGTGAAATACACTAATTGAGCATATAAAATGGGCTTATGAATTGAAACCTAATGTAAAAAATTCATTTTTTTGATTTATGAAAAACAATACTTTTTTTTAATTTAATTTTTCTCATTTTTTCTTTTGCAAATAGTGGATCTCAACTATAAACTGTGCCTGCTGTAAACGAAACCAACCACGTTGTAAAGGCGAACCACACAATAGCAAGGTTAGGAAATTATGAATTATTAGATGGTAGAAACTCAATGAAACATATGTTTAATAAAAGCTTTTATTCATTTTCTGTAGTAGCCTAAAAATTAGATCTAAGAAAATAAAACAGGGCAGTATAATGTAGTTCTCTTCAAATTCAAACAAAAAACTGTTTGAAACATGTCATAATGTCTTTAAAAAGGGAACTTCTAAGGACATGCAGTAGGATACTTCGAATAGCTTTCCGCGGGAGTTCGTCAAGAAATTAGTACATCCTTTATCCTCTCGTGTAACATTTCATCGCTGAACACCTGCACATTTGTATTGAATTAGGTGATAGCTGTATTTTAAAATCTAGAATAGACTAAGTGTTTTTATTCTTAAATGTGCAGATATGAAAAAAAATTATATATAATTAACATAGTTAAAGACAGATCATAGAAAGTGATTAACTTTGAACTTGTATTGCATATGTGATCCTGTAGTAACTGACTGGTTATAAATTTGCAGAAGCCTTGTTATAACGTTTTCACTGTATGTTAGTGTTTATCTTTACACTATAAATTTTCATAAAGTATAAAGTTTATTTTTAAAATTGTAACAACAATAAACTGTTTACTAATATTAAAGGGACCAAATAGGTGATTTTGATGATTTATTTGCTGAAATATCCTTTATAATCAAATTATATTGAGTATTAGTATTAATGTTATTATTATTATTTCAAATGGTTATTACTAACTCTTATTACTTATTACGATTGTATAAAACATGTATAACATGCAGAGCGGAAAATTTTCACATTAAGTAACCTAAGCATTCAGTTAAGAAAAGATAAAACATACAATCAGCTAATATAAAATCAGTAATAAAGCAGCTAAAATATGTTAGTAAATAACTCATAAATATCATCAGTTAGTAACAAAATAAGGAAAATTAAAGCAACACATACAATAATTTACAAAATATAAATAACAAATATGTTACACATAAAAAATGACAACAAATTCACAAAGAAACTGGTGCAGAATTTATGGTGGTGAATAGAAATATCATTAGATTTACAATATGGAAACAAGGAATAAATATTTAAAACAGTGTTTTGAAAAAGAAATTAACATTGAAAAGACGAGAGACATAATGAAATGGATCAATGCCATCATGATGGTAGTCAAGATTAATAAAAAAAAAAAAAGTAAAAAGTTATTGATTAAGTTGTGAGAATTGGCTCCTAATTCAAAAATAGCTAAACAATTGTAAAATTAAATAACAATACTCAGATTCTAATAGCATACCTAGATAAAAGTACAACATATTTAAATTTAACAATAAATAAATGTTATACTGAATAAATATTTTATACTTGTTTTCCAATAATAAACAATAAAAATGACTAAAACCATATTTGCACTAATATTCACCTGTTGAATCTAATTCAGTTAGGTCTTTTATTCAAATATTGAGTACAGATGAGTTCGCCTTTAATATTTAATTTTTAAAAATTAAACTTAAATTTGTGTTCAATTCAAATAATTTTAATATTTAATTCATAAATAATTTTTTTAATGTATTTATTTTGATTTAATTTTATATTTAACACAAATTAAGGTATTAGAAAGTGTTTTTTTCTTTTCATTTTTGTTTTAGGAGAAATTATTTATAATAATATAAAGTTTATTTATTTTCATTTTACATTGGCTACGTTTCAGCTAGGATGCCATTTTCAAGTCATTTGGTAAGACAAAATCACAATTAATTTCAAACAACACTGCATTTGAGTTGAGACAATCTGTTAATTCACAAGTCAATTAAATGAAACAAAAGATAGAATGAGCTTGTTTTATAATGCTTGTTAAATGCAGTATTGTATGAAATTAATTGTGAATTTGTCTCACAGATGGTTTGAAAAAGGCGTCCTAGCCAGAACGAAACGTAGCTAGTGTAAAATAAAATAAATGCGATGATATAACATACATAGCCTTAATTTATATTTAGTGCTTTTCTTTTATTTTCTTACAAGTTAACAAAATAAATTGTATTAGGTAAAGTATTTTCAATTTTCCATTGAATAGGTTGTTTATTTTAAACTTAGTTTATGTGGCGTATTTGACCAACATTGTCACATTATTACTATAAAAAATAATAACTTTTTCACTAATTTATTACTCATGTGCTAGTATTAAAGATCTGTTAGTAATATCTATACTTTAAACATGAACATATTGTTTATTGTTATTTTATAATTATGAGAGTTATAAATGACCAGAATTAGCAGCCTAGGTGTGGTTTATCAGATAGGCTTGCCAACTTATCGACCTAAGCATATGGGTCATTACCATATGCTCTGATGGCCCACATCCTTGCTTCGAAACATCAGCAAGCCTAATAAACTACATCTAGACAGAAAATTCTGAATATTTATCATCCTTGTAATATAAATGTTTAATTTAAATATAAAATTACATAGACATGATTAACACACACACATATTATGATAGACTCTACTCCAAAAATATATCAAATATTTTTTTTAAAGGTGCCAGGAAATTTTTTTTTAAATTTCAGAAATATACTTCATATTCAGTATTAATAATATTTGACATTTCGGTAACACTTTATCCAATTTAAAATCCAATCTCTACAACAAAACATTATATGTCAACAGTTTTTTTTTTTAAATACATTATTATAATTCAATAATAAATTAAAACTTTCGTCACACTTACTCCATCTACCATTGAAAGCAGATTAACCATTTAACAAAAATTAGAGGGAAGGATAAAGTATCTTTGAGAATGAAATACTTTTTATCATCTCTATTGACACTTACGAGTTTTTATTTAAGGCATCATTCAAAAATTCTCGTAATCTCTAGTCAGAGAAAAATTACCTCAATGGTAGGTGGCAAAATAGTTTAAAAGTAGAATTGATCACTGAGCACCATGTCGTTTAATGAGAAAGAGCAGACAGGTTGATGACTCATATACGAGGTCCACTGTCGCATGGGCTCTATTCCGTCTTGATTTATATATGGTTCAACCATCATTAAACTGATTAAAACACTTCTACTTGACTTAAATACAGTAACATCAATCACTTATAACTTTTTAGAAATAGCCCAAAATCAATTATATATCACTTATTATTACAAAATTACTGTTCACAGATTATTCGCAAAAAACAACAACAACTAATTAGGGTAAGCACACCAGGGATGGACATAGCTAAGGAAGTTTTTGTCTTTTTTAGCTTATGCCGCCGTAATTATTATAGTTATAAACTTCTCTGTTGGACATTTAGAATCTCTAGGGTCTCCTTTTTCTATTCAACAATATAAAATTTAAAAAATATTCAGTTATGCAGGTATAATCTCAATTTAAAAAAAACCCAGCTTTTTGGACTAGTGATGGACACACCAAACTTCAATTGTTTTACTAATGGATAAGGGATCAGTACCAGTAATAAACATACCTCAGACAAATTCTAAAATGTTTATTTAACTATAAAGATAACGATAAAGGTAAGATAACAAAAGATAACGATCACTTTTTCTAATGTAAAAAACTGCGTTTATCGAAAAATCAAAGTTTTCTGATGGCTGTGGAGAACAAAATAAAAACTATATGTTTATTAGCATTTTAGTATTTTGAAAATAACAAAATTAAACAAGTTGATATAATCTTTCATGTTTTATCGCCACATCTTGAATAATATAAAATTTGTATTCAAATGCAATCATATTTAGTTAATTTTTATAAATATTTTATTCATTCTTTGAATTTTAAATAAAACATGTTTTACTTCCTATGCTCATTACAAATTCACCTCGCTCTTAATACAACTTTCTGCTGTTTATTATTTCTGAATATATTTCAAAATTATTTCCTTGTCTGAGGAGTGATGGATTTAGAGGAATGCAGGTGGCTAACAGAAAGCTAAAGTGAAATTCTCAGACTTTTCCCTAACCGATATGCCCACAAATATTAATAATGTACAATTTTTAACTAAATTCTCTTCAATATATCTATGACAGTTAACTATCAATCCACAATTATAACTTAATTTATTTACTATACACAAATGAAAATTGACTACTAAATGATTTTAGTAAAAAACAATCCACTATTATATCAGTCTTTTAAATAACAAATATAATGTTTTAGTGGGAGCATTAGGATTTTATATTTATTTTTATTTTGGAAAGGTAAACTTTCATCTGGCGGGATCCTTCCATGCGATTAGCCCTGATAAAGACCTGAACTTTGGGCTGAAAGGTCAGCAAAAAAAATATATTATTTATTTATTTTTATCACCTTTTTTTTATTTTCATAAACTAAGAGGAAGTTTAGCTAACGGTAACATTATTGCTATATCATACTATTTACTTTATATCTCTTAATACCGATGACAGCAGATGTAAAATATCAAAAACAAGAAACAAAATTACAAGCATAGTAAAAGGACCATTTATATATATATTATTCCCATAGTTTTTTAAGGTTTCTAAACGCACCTTTAGGTTTTAGAAAAAAAATTATCAGATATAGAGGCAGTCAGCTCTCGGCAAAGGCCATTTTTAAACGAAATCCACTGTATGTTTATTTCAAATTTGAAAAAATATTAACGTACTGAAAAAATTTTCTGACTTTAACAACTTTTTTCCCTGACTTTTCCGTTTTTTTCAGGTCGGTCACCACCCTGGTATGAGTTATCAATAGAAAGGGAATTTCACGTATAATTTTTAATTAGCCAATAAAATTTAAGACAAATGAAAATTGGATAAGAACATATTATTTTTTTTTGTATTATTTCTCTGTACGTAACCCATTCCTGCAGTGTGACCTGTTCATCATAATTCATCCTGTATATATCATGTCTTTAAAGACATCCAATATTATTAATAAAGAATATGAAGTTTGAACCATGACATAATTTCTGAAACTTAAAAAAAAAAGTTTTACTTTTGTTTATCATTTAATCATAGCTTCATTATTGATATGTTATCGAATAGAATTTATATTCTCACCTTAAGTGGAGATGTACCGAGGTGGGGTGTGTTAGGCGATCCAATGCTCTTGGACCTCAAGGCCTTCCTTAGTATCCTGGAAGCTACGCACTCAGGAGGTTCTTCCATGTCCAGGACCCAAGATACGGAATCGGTCTTCTCTATAACTGACTTTACAGTTGGCGAGCCTGGCGGTGATTTTTCGCACATGCTGAGCCTGTAATGTGAAAATAAGTAATGTAAATGTCCTAACAATACAATATATCCTAACTATATAAGGTTCCCAGGCATATACCGAACTTAAATATGTATCTTCAGCTTCCTACTACTTTTTGTTTTTAAGCTAGACTGTTAACATACACACGCACACACAGACTATTAGTTATTTCAACTCAGGGGACCTCAAAACGTGTGTTCCTAATGAAAACTCAGATTTTAAAATTTTCATATTCGCAATACTTTTCCTTACTATACATTACATATATAAATAAGTAAAAGTTATAAAATAAAATATTTCAGTTTCGGAGGACTTCCTTTTTTAAGCTAGTTGTTCACATACATACCATTTTGAAAGGCTTTGAGTGTAACAAAAAAGCGGTAACAAAATGTGTCTAAAGAATTGAAGCTCATAAAAATTAAAGGAAGAGATAAAATAGGTAAAATCTTGTCTCAACCTTCCTAGCCAAACCCGTAAGGTTTCAGCGACTGACGTGAAATGATCAGAAATATGCGTTTCCTGCCTGATGCATCACCCAATGGAGATTTCATCTTGGCAGGAATCGGTGGCTGATTAATGTACCTTTGAAAGGGTGCCAAGTTTGAAATCCTACATGAACTTAAATGCTTATTTTATCAATTTTAAGTTACAAGTGTCAATAATTGGTAAGGAAAATTGTATATTTAAATAAGATCTGTATTTTTGCCTATACTAGCCATTATAAAATGTAGTACTCCAATAAATACACAGGAAGATGGACTCAATTTTTTTTCAAAACATCGTTCTAATTATTTTTTACCAGTTCATTTCATTCTAAACTTAAATTTGAATTTAATCTACAAAATTGGCTCTGCGGAATATTGTCATTTTTACCTTACCTGCTAAGATTGATATCTGCTTCACTTGCAGTCTTATTCAACTCATAAGAGGACCTATTAGACCGAGACTTTGGTGTTCTGTTTGGTGTTTTTTGGTTTTTGATTGAACTTGGACCTATATAAACAAAAGAATAAAATGGAATAAAACATATAGTGCATGTAATAAAGATCATAGATAGATAAATAAATAAATAAAGATTAAAATTAATTGAAATATATTTTACTTACTTGAAATTCCAGCGAGAGCATTAAACACGAGACTGTTCTGTTTTAACTTCCATTGAAGCTCTTCATTCTGTAAAGATATCCTCTTCTTCTGGGTAGATTCCTTGGCAATTGTGTCAGAAAGTATCTGTTTTTCTTGCTGCAGTTGCCTAAAAGTTCAATAAATTGTTAATATTTGCTTGATAAAAGTTAAAAAAATTTAAAGAACAAAACAAATATTATTTTATAATATAATTGCAATAAACAGATAAAATAAAATAACTCAATATTTTTTTTTTATTAAACTAAAATGGTTAGTATAAATCCTATATATTTCTTAATGTATTTTTCTGCTAAAGTAGACAATATTGTCATTTGATTTAAAATACAGAATTATAAATAGGAAAGTACAACAATCAAAAGAGTGATATATTAAAAAAGTACAAAAAAAAAAAAAATAAATAAAAGTTTTTCATCTTTCTTTAAACATGGAAAAATTATTAGTCATTTTATAATAACATTAATTAAAATAAATAATAACATTTAATTTTACAGCATCAATACAGTTTTTACAACTTTAATTTAAAAAATATCAGTCATTTTTTATCTAATTCCCAACTTTTCAGAAATATAATTTTTGTTATTTGTTATACAAAAACAAGAATTTATGGGACACTTATCAGACCAATCCTTATGTGAGGCTCAGAAAGTTTAACAGTGACTAGATACCAGGAACAAGTCCTTTTCAGATTTAAGAAGTTGTGAAGAATAAACGATGGCGTTTATGAAGGAGGAATAATGCTGCATTAACATGTATGTGGAGATCTTGATGTATTCATTAAGTTATCATTGCTCCATATGGTGGGCCATGTAGCTAGAATGGAACCAAATGGAATTTCATATAAAACTTTTTCGGAGAGTGTATATGACACGAGTAGAGTTGGATGTCTTAAGCTTGGCTGGATGATGGAGTGGCTCTTGCTTGGTGTCTGGAATTGGAAGGTCGCAGCAGGAAACAGAGAGGAATGGCGATCAATGATAGGACAGGATCTGACTTAACAAATGAGAAGTAACGCTACCTAATAAATACTTTTTATTTAAGTGTGAACTGATAATATGTCAAACAAACAATATCATACCCTTAAAGAAAAAAAATACAATAAAAAAAATTCTTTGCATGAATATCAACAGGTACTTACTTTTCAATTTCCTCCTTCCTTGCAATCTGTGCTTGAAGATCGGCCACCCTTGCAACGAGTGTAGACACCCTCTGAATTGCAGCGGGGAGTTGCTCGGCATCTCTTTTCCAGACCTGGCACTGACGCCTTAGCTCTTGGAGTTCGGTCGACCTCAGCTCAAGCACACACTGCAGCGAATCTACCTCGGCTTGAAGCGAACTGCAGCTTGAAGTCCTCTTGGAAAGCTAAACATCAATAATCATTAACTGAGTTGCAATACAATCTGAATAGTATGAATTATATATTTTTTTTAATAATATAAAACATAAATGAATGCAACATCAAAAATACCTTGGCTTTTGTTTCTGCATTCTGTGCAGAAATTTGCATCCCTTCTTTAAGGTTTTCGTATCGGCCTCGCATGTCTTCGACTTGCTGAAGGAGTTCAGATTCCCTTGCTTCAAAGTACCTTTGGGCTTCTTCATAGGATTTTACTTTTGCTTCCAATTCCTCTAATTTCTTACATCTTTCTTGCAATGCTACCTTCTCGCTAATGTGAGCTTCTTCTGCGTGCACAAGCTGTTTCTCAAGATCCTTTGATAGCCTTTTTTCCTATTGATATAAATTATTAAAACGTTAAATTTTGAACTGGAAGATTAATTTAAAAAAAAAAATGAAGAAATTGTCAATGTTATAGAAGGGGTAAAAATAGGAACTTTAATATTTTCTCTTTCTTCAAAAAAGAAATTTTAAATTGATACTTTTTGTTACCCTATGTATCAAAAATTATTATTGACCTTAAAAAAATTAATGTGTAAGCAATCCCCAAACAGATATAAATGCCATGTCAATGTATAAAAGTTTTTAATCCACAGATTCATACTTCTGGGAAAAAGTGATATAAATAAAGATATAGAATAATCAGCCACGAAAGCATCCAACCCTTATTATTTTTTTTTAAAAGTTAACCACTTAATTTATAATATTTAGGTGTTAAAGAAAGAATCTTGAATATTATAGTAATGAAAAAATGGACAATGTGCAAAATTTTGAAATTCGTGTAGATCATAAATTAATGGTTAAAAGGGTTAATATTATTTTTATTACAAATTTGGCTTCTCAGACTACTGGGAGAACTTTGGTCCTTTTAACAATATATTTATAACCTCCTTTTTTTTTTTTTTTCATACAGTTTGTTCAAATTTGTAAGTGTAAAATGAATATGCAATAGGTAATTAATAATTATAGATAAACATAAGTGAAAAAAATGTATTTCTTATTTTTTTAAAATAGTATTTTGAAATAAGCTATTCAATAAAATATATCATCTTAATACAATGGAAGATAATATTAGAATAAAATCTGGTCTATAAATATCAGAAAAGTTTAATTGCTAATTTTTTTTAACTTTTAAATTACCTTTACCTAAAATATCTATATTTTTTAAATTGTTATTTGTTTCAAATTTATCAGTAATTTCCACAATTATTTTAAAAAACAATACTTATATTGAATTATAGTAACTTTATATATTTACTATGCTTTAATTTAACCATAAATAAAATAAATACAATACCTTGAGTTCGAATTTCCTTTGCAATTCGTTCATTGATAGTTCGAAGCTTCTCGTTACTAAAAAAAAAAAATTAATTACAATATAATAACTAAATTTTATTTAACTCAATGAGTTTTTTTTATTTCCTAAAGAAAATCTAAATCAGTACTTCTTATTTATGAAAATTATTACAAATTCATACTTATTACAATATTAATCTTATTTAACTTATTATAGTAATTTTTAATAGAGCAACTTCCATTTGGATGTTTTGGATTTGACTCCAATCAAATAGTTCAACAAATAATTTATATAGACATATAGAATACATTTATTAATTGAAGATTAATGTATTTATTCTAAGCAATACAATCCATATCACAAAATATACTTTAAAAGTCTTTATTAAAAAACTGTATAAGCAATTATTTATTTTTCACTTTATTTGTCAATTTCACGAAACTTAACACATATTCAAATCGGAAATATCCACTAGTGGTAAAGAGTAGCTCAATTTTATTTTACTTAGACATGTAGAATAATACATGAATAAATATAAAATAATAAAATGTAGATCAACATTGATTAAACATTAATAAACATTAATTAATTCTAAGCAATACAATCCATATTACAAAATAATGTTTTAGAAGTCTTCCTTAAGAAGCTGTACATGCAATTATTTATTTTTGAAGACTTAAGTTGCCAATTTCACAAAACATAACACATATCCATTAGGGGTAAAGAGTGGCTCAATTTTATTTTAATCAGAAATTCTTTTGAATAAGTATTCTAAATAATGGAAAAACAAGCCTATAGGTAGGAATAATTTGTAAGAAGAAAACAAATAAAAATTATCAGGTCTATTACAAATCATGGAAAAGTAAGATAGTTGTTTTTAATACTTACATTTATCCATCTCCTCTTTGTACTTGTCATGCATTTCTTCAACTTCACAACGATGGCTGTTTTCAACTTCTTCCAATTCTTTTTCTTTTTCTGATTTTTCGTAGATGTATTCTTCTTGTAATCGGTTGAAGCTTACTTTTAATTCCTCTGTAACATTAATCTTCAGTTAATAAAATTTTGGTATGACTTCAAATCTAGTTAGTTATATTAAACAAAACTAAGGATTAGCAGAAAAAAGAAAAAAAGGAGGATATTTATTAAAAAAATATCTTTACCATTTCTAGGGATTGGGAAGAGGATTAGAGTTTTTAGAAATCCATAAAGCCACAAGAAGAAAGACGGAAACCACATTAGGTTCTTATAATTCTCAAAACTTATCGGAACCATTGACGCGACTTTAATAAATTAAAACTTAACATAAAAAACAAATGCCTGCATTCATTAACGCATTCATAGCCGGTGGTAATCGAGAAATAATACGGTCATAGTCAATCGGTGTTTGATGAAACATATTCACAACACAATTGTTTGGATAAAAAACAAATCTTCATTAGAAAACAACGCGGAAAACGTTTTCATTAAAAGAGATTGCATATGAATTAAGTTAAAAAGGGTTGAAAACGCTTATGCTTCATTTATATTGTTCAATTAAATTACTATACTGTTATTTATATAAACAATAGCTAAAATTAGTGTTGTTAGGTTGGCAACGGGAGTCATTAGAAAGGTTATCTGTCTTGACATATGAAAACCGTTAATTACAAATTTTATTCTCAATGTTTTTTATTTCTATATAAATTAACTATAGTAATCATTTTATTATTATAATTATTTTATTACTATAATTATTTATTAGTAAAAGTATAAAATATAAGTAAATGTTAGGAATGACGTATGGACAAAAAATAATATTATGATACAACTCTTTAGTCAACATAGGGCAAGTTCCTAAACTCAGCGCTAATAAATCGATGGATGTCCGATGCCGATGAATGATCTCAGCGCTGAGTAAGGAACATGTCTACTGTTACATCGATGAGTTCAGAAACGGTCTGATGGATTTGCAATGCTCATTAACGATCTCAGCGCTGAGTTTACGAACTTGCCTTTAGAATAAAAGGAACTATTCTTCTCAATCACAGATATCTTACGAACGAGAGCTATTTACTAAACTTATGAATGAAGTTTCTATTGGCAATTCTAATCGCCTCTAATTAACTCCTCGTAATAATAATTACATCTTTACTATCCTTAGTTACTTGTTAAATTAATTAACTAACGTATTTGGTACATTTTTTATGTAACCGGTTATTACGAAAGAAATAGGAACGTGTATCTAAGGAACAGTTCGGTTAAAAATTAACAGATTATCTGATGTATTTTATAAAACGTTATTTTTACTCAAGCTGTTTTCGAAAAATATCCTTGTATCAAAATAATAATTAGTTTTTGCGTAACTAGTATTATTAAGGATAGGAAGATAAGTGAAGCGATTTTATTTTATTGTTTTTTATTTTTGAGAAACTTCATGAAAAAAATTTAAAATAATAAGGAGTAACTTTAATATTATACAAAGTTGAGATATTTAAAAGAAACAAGAATTCAACTCTTCAATCTGGTAAATGAAGACTTACTGTTACAGGGGTCAGTAAATCCTTTTAAGCTTGTTCGATTTTCTTAACGTTTATTTAAAACTTTAAACCATAGAAAATAAACCACAATTAAAGTATTGATTAACAATTAACGTGCCTAAAGTCAATTAGATATCTTATTTCAGACGTGCCGTAAAATTGAATAATATATGTTACACCCTAAATCTCTTTGAAATTTCACGTGTGAGTTTGGAGGGACAAAAATAAAAAAATAAAAGTTTTTTTTTTTTTAATTTAAAAATACTTATATAATTTGCATGACATAGAAAAATATTGTAACTTAAATAATGTTATATTCTGAAACTGGTACATACCTAATTCCAACTGAGATCTTAACCATTTTGATTTAATTTTCTCTAAGTCTTTTTTAAGCTGCGGAGAACTAAAAGCATCCAACTAGAACACAAATAACAAACAATAAATAAAAGAATATTAGAAAAATGAAAAATTCATCTTTATTGTTTGAATTAATAAAGATAAAGGAGGCTTTAAATAATATTTTTAAATTAAATAACTAACAATTCTATAATTTTGCCAAATAATAAAAACGGAAAATAAGCTACAAAAGGAATATAAATGTCATTATTTTGAAAGATATTTCACTCTTTCAGATCTAATTAATTTATTGTAATAATATATTCTATACAGCATAATTATTAAAAAAAATATATATTTTTATCTTCATATGCTCTTCACTACGTAGTCGCTAAATCTGGAAAAAATAGCAATATAAACAGACAAACAATTTATATTAAAAACATATTAAATAATATACAATTGATAAATAAATGTGTTAAGGAAAATTAATATATTCCTTTAATAGAATTTTCCTATGACTCATTTTATTGAAATTACTAGAAAATATTGAAAATATATGTTTTTTTTTTTTTTAACGTCTAAACATCTATATGTTTTTAGCTATTTGTAGTACTTATTAGTATTTGTACTTGTTAAATTTAGAAAATAAGTTTCTTATAAAAAATGAAGTAGATTTTGTGCACTAATATTAATTTATACATATTTTTGTTACGCCAATAGGAAAACAGAAAATAAAATTTAAAAAATCCCGTATTATTTTCGAATTCTTAAAACTTTACCTACTTTGAAAGCTCGATAGTTCGCTTCCTGTTGGGCTTAGAAAAACAATTTATTCCGAAAATTTTAAGCTGTTCACCATGAAATTTCAGTGGTTGTTGGAGGACTGAGCAAAACATACAAGTTTTCCATTTCGAAAAGTTTATTTTTATTAAGATTTATTATATTCACCACATAGCTAACAGTATAAAAATATAATTTTAGTTACCCGACCTTTTGCTTTTAGTGGCCCTCTTTTTTTTGTGCTAATTTGTCAGGGCTACAAGCCAGGCTAGATCCACAGGCTTGACGTTTGCTTACTACCATGCCTCAAATGAATAAAGTTCAAAACCCGGATTGCACCATCTTGAGTTATTAGCTTCAGCAGTAACAATTGGTTCAACAATATACTGCCCATAATTAAAGGAATTGCACCAATCCGTACGAAAATACTCCCAGGACGACAAACTGAAGAATGTTGACTTCCAACTAGAGAACGCTGGGCCACACACATCATAGGTCACTCGCAATCTTGTGACGCACCCTGTCTATTCGCCAGACCTAGCTCCAAGCGATTACAACGTCAAAACTACTTAGATCATATTTTTTTATAATAGACCCCAGACCTTCTATGGATATTATGCATTAAGTTCATATGAAGTAATGGCCAATACCTCTTAGCTTAAAATAATTTTGATATTTATAATAACTCGTATTATTTCATACGGAAAAAAAAAATAATGCTATTTCAACATAATTTTTTTTTCAATTGTAACATTTTTATGAAGAGGAGAGTAATAATATTTCTTGAGAGGGGATGTCTCTATGTGTTCCTATAAATAAGGCAGCAAATGATCTATATTTTAAATTTTGACAAATGCAGTACCAGGCTCTTTTCTTTTTTAAGCACACCAGTAAATTTTTGAAGTATTTTTGTATTTGGATTAAAATATCTCATAAACTAGAAATCGGATCTGCATGCTGTAACCAAGATAAATAATCAGCATTTCATACTCTTTACAATGAATTATTATTCATACTTGTATCTTAACGCGTTAATCATGTTAGAGAGGCGAAAAGAGAAAAATATGTCACTGGATAGAAGTAGAAAAGAGCCCAGTACGATATAAGCTCCTTATATGATTAGTGATGCTTAACATTACCAGTACCAGTACCAAATGCTTACATTGTAGACTAGGTGGTGGACGAGGACCGCCAGGGCTTGTGCCCCCTTTGCGGCGTGCTGCAGAGCTCCAGGGTCCGGTTGCGGCGACCTCAGCTGGGGCGGTCGCGTCGGTGCCTTCGGTTCGGCCAGACATCTCGTAGCGCTACCCGATCTGTTCTGATCTGCAACAACAACAACAACAACAATTATTATTATATTATAATTTATCATTAAAACTTTATTTAATAATAAAAGCCATGCCCGTGCTTATGTACCCTTTTTGTAAGTGAACCAAGTGCAAAACAAGCTGGCGAGTGGAAGAGACATAATACTGACATTTATGATACGTACGACTACAGAATGGATACAATGCTAAGCTAATACTAAGGTTCGATAAAAACTATTCATAATACTAGCACATGTGGCAAGGTAGCTATGACATATGGCTATTGTTATGTATTTTTTATTTAAAATGTTACATTCCGAAAATATTAGCAGAGAGTCCCATCATGTCACTAACATAGTCAAAAGAAGAAGATCAAAAATCTATAGTTAGGAATGAATTCATAACCCACTTAATAGGTTGCCGTAAGTCTTAATTCACAGTAGTAATAAGTTGATAATCATTAATTTGAAATACCACAATCAAATATCATTAGTTGTATGCTTCAACTTCCGCAGCCCCAATTCAATCTCTGATGCAGAATATTGCTCTAATGTTGTTTGTGAGGCCATATCAGCAGTGATTTTTTCCCGTGGATCCGCGAACAGCTCAATTATGGTTTCAGGAGGAACTATCATTATAATTGAAATCTACTATCATTATAATTAAAATCTACTATCATTATAATTGAAATCTACTATAATTAAATAGAAAATCAAAATATACGTATGTTATGTGTCGCGGAGATGTACGAAGGGTTCCTGCTTGAAGAGCCTGATCCGAGAGTCCCGATCCTGTACAAGCTGGTTGGGACTGCTTCCGTCCATTCCTCTCCTGCTCATTGCCTCCTGGATTGTTCATTCTTAAGTATTACAGGGAGAGGTGCTCAGAAGTGGGTTTCATGGCGCCAGTTGCGCCATCTAAGTTTTTGATGGGGCACATTTCGACTAGGTTTTGAATTTTTGAGAGGGACATATTTCGACGGGGGTATGGATCTTCGGAGTGCACAGCAAGTATAATTGTATATGATCTACGATTTGTCTAATCTTATTTTCATTTGCACTTTTTTTAAGAAGAGGAAAGTAATACAATTTTTGAAGAGGGGAGATGGTTCATGCGCCATAGACCTTGGGGATGGATGAGCACCTCTGATTCCAGGACCTTCATCTTGATGTTCTTCCCTCAACTCTCATTTCGTAGGCAGTTTTGGTAATCCGTTCTCCCTGCGTTCTTTTAACGAGAACAAACCGCTTTAACTGATTTCCTTTAATTGTATGTTCGACCGGTTTAATTTTCAAGTTACTTCTGTTTGTCATATTTCTTTCTTTATCCCTTGTTGTTAATAAAATAGTTTAAAAAATAAAATAAAAATTAAGTGTGTGTAGTAAGTCGACAAGTATATTAATTAATGGAATTTGAGATGTAAGAGTTGATAATATATTTAAATCCTAACTTGTTAAATAATTTTTAGGCCGAAATTCCACATTATTACTAAGCAATAATCCATTAATTATTTATTTTATTTATACCTTGTAAGTATCCATTTACTTTTCACTTGGATCGTATGATAATTTGATAAAAAAATCGATAAAAAAGGTGACACAAATATCAAATATATGGAGCCATTTGGCTTATACAATCTCGTTATTTAGACAATTAGGGTGTGTAGGTCACGCCAAACGGTTCAACCTTTTTTCTCGATTTTGTGCTCAAATTTTCTTACGATACAAGCGGAAAGCAAATGGGCATTTACGAGTTTTTAGTACCTAATCAAATAGACGAAGTTTGCCGATCTCCAAATTCCGAGAATTTTCGTAAATAAAATATTTGTAGGTTACGATGAGATGAAGCCATTCACGAAGTTACAGGCGGATGTTAATAATTTGATAAAAATGGGTCTGAACCATGGACTATAAATGTATATATGCAGAACATTGGAGTTAAAAACGTCATACTCTTATAATTTTGGGTTTTGGTATTGCTAGGGTCAATAAAATGTAAGTGCAAAAAAATCAATTTTCAGAAATTCCCAAATATCTAAATATTCAGGTTCTATATGATTTGTTTTTGAGAAAGACCAAGTTTACCGAATTCATTTGGAAAATTAATCACGAAAAATATAAGTTAACTAAATCGATATAACAATAATTCACAAACATATCTGGAGAAGAAATAATCAGCGATTGTCGATTTTCCTTTGATCGGGTTGGTTTGGATATTATTTCGCAGAGGAATGGGAAATCCTTCCTCACTTCGATCCCAAGACCGGATTAAGTCCTTGAGACGTCCAAAGCCAGTGATGGATTAACTTATAAGCTAGTGCTTAGGGCATTAAGTTGTGGAGGGGAGGGGTACCATTTATTAAGTTCACTTGCTAGAAAGAAATATCAGAAGAAACTATTTATGTAATTTAAGAATTATATATTGTTAATATGGATGTAATTTTGTATTTTGTTTTTAATATTGCCTCTTTTCTTCAACTTTAAGTACAGTAGAGTCCTACAGTTTCCTTTAACAATACTAGACTGAAACGACAAGAAACCGCTCGACGTTTCCGATTACTTTCAGCACTTACTAGACAAACGATCTGAACTTCCCATTAATTACAAAAGACTCATATACTTGACTATAATAAGACCTATTTGGACTTACGGAGTTGAGCTATGGGGCTCCACTAAACCATCGAATTCCTCTCGCATCCAATCCTTACAATCCAAAATCCTTCGTAAAATCCTCAATACTCCTTACTTTGTCACTAATTCAATTATCCATAAAGATCTTAATGTTCCTTATGTTTCAGATCTGGGCAAATCCAGATACCTATCCTTCCATAATAAACTTCAGAATCATCCCAACCCTCTCGTTTCTAACCTTGCTTCCTCTTCGATTCCTGATAACCCTCCGAGGCGTCTGAAAAGAAGATGGCCCCGTGATCTCCTAATGTAGTCATATCATTAGAGTGCTACCATTGGGTAGTTACTCAGCAAGTGTATTCATGTCATTATATCTATTATGTCCAAATTTACTAGATGTATTTATGTAATACAGTTGTAAATGTCATTAAGAAATTTAAAAAAAATAAAAAAAAGTATTTAATATTGGCTCTTTTCTTCAACCTAAGTACACTAGTGAATTTTTGAAGTTTTTTTTTAATTCGGATTAAAATATCTTATAAACTAAAAATCGTATCTACATACTGTAAGAAAAGGAAACGTTCAGAATTTCATCCTCTTTTTAATGAGCTATTACTCAAAATTGCATCTTAACGTGACACGCAGTGTTAGAGGCAAAAAAGAAACGAGTTTGTTTGGACATATGGATTAAAATATCTCAGAAATTAGAAATCGGATCTTTGTACTGTAAGCGAAAGAAATGTTCAGCATTTTATCCTCTTAGTAATGAGCTATTATTCAAAATTATATCTTAATGCGACACCATGCTAGAGAGGCAAAAAGGGAAAAAGGAACGAGTTCGGTCGAACATATGGATTACAATTCGACAATGGCTGTAGATAAACCTAGTCGGTCGATAAGCTGAGAGATAAACAAGAAGATAAAACGGGGAATGGGCTAGACAGTATTGACCAAGGAGGGGGATGTTGAGGGTAGCATTGGGCTGTAGCTACAAAACCTGTAGATACAAAACTGTCGTGGGTTCGATTCTCGAAAACGAAAGGTTAATAACTTAATTGGTGTGAATGTCATCCTACCTCACTATAACCAATGTCCAACAGACAGATTGTTATAATAAAAAAAAAATAATAAATAAAAATAAAAAAAAAATAAAAAAAAATAACTTAAAGCTTAGGAGACAAGTTTATAAAATAGCTCATCTATTATGAAAGTTTTATCTAATAACTATGTAAAATACAAGGTTGTTAAACAAATAATGCCGGTTCTGGATTTCTTAATATTAACCCTACGTACGCTCGCTTCAGTACATAACCCTTACGTTTGAGGAATTATTCTTTAGTGTGGGTTTTAAGATTATTAACCCTCTTCAAAACAAAATTTTCTGTACCATTTCACTAATTGGAAATAATTCAGACTTTAGTAAGATGTCCAAGCGTGGTAAACTTCGTTTTACGAGTTTAAACTCGGTCGGATCAGGCCTTAAACGGTCAGAAACATTGATGAAGTCTATGGCGATGAGAGTGTGAGTGAGAGAACTATTAAAGTTGGTTTTAAAAAAATTCGAGAGGGAGACTTCAGCCTTGAAGAGAAAGATGACCGTATAATCCTATAATTATTGGAGAACTTTCAGAGAAACTCTCATTCAGCAAACAGACCATTGCTTGAAACTTGGATTCCTCATGTATTAAACGACAGCCAAAAAAAAGGTTCGTTATGTAGGTTTGCGGTGCACTTCTAACCTACAGACTATCAGTTTTTTAGACACCTGGACCACTTTTTAAACGGAAAAAATGTATAAATAAAAAAAATAAAGTTGGGCACTTTAGGCCATACGATGGAAGTGAAAACAGCAACGAGCCGAGATTAATAATATGAAACGGTATGAATGTACTCTCTGAACTCTATTATAAGTGTCCTTAACAGTGACAGATTGTAATATTTCTCAATAAAATGTTTAAAAATTAAAAAAAAATAAATAAAATAATATGAAATATAAATTATAAATAATAGCCCATTACAGAGAGGATGAAATGCTGAACAATACCTTCGCTTACAGTATACAGGTTTAATTTTTAGTTTCTGAGATTTTTTAATACATATCTTCCATAAAACTCGTTATCATTTGGTTTTCGACACTATTTTTTCATTTTCTCGTCTCTAACATGGCGTCGCGTTAAGATAAAATTTTATATAATAGCCCATTACAGAGAGGATGAAATGCTTAACAATACCCTTGCTTACAGTATGCAGATCCGATTTTTAATTTCTGATATATTTTATTCCATATGCAAAAACACTTCAATTAGTTGGCTCCAGCCGGTTTTATCCGAGCGTTACACATCGGAAATCTGCCGGATAAATCTAATTCATTGTACACAAAAAAGTG